CACCATTTGACCCACAAGCTGTACCCTGACAACTGGAAGGGCCTCAACCCCTCCCCTGTCCTTAGAATGTATACTCTGCCCAGTGGTCCCACAGTGGGAGCCATGTTCAAGGACACAGCCTGAGAAAGGAAGGTGTCATTGAGACCATCTAGGCCAGGGGTGGGCAAACTTTTTGACTCAAGGGCCACAATGGGTTCTTAAACTGGACCGGAGGGCCAGAACAAAAGCATGGATGGAGTGTTTGTGTGAACTAATATAAATTCAAAGTAAACATCATTACATAAAAGGGTACGGTCTTTTTTTTTTTTAGTTTTATTCATTTCAAACGGGCCGGATCCGGCCCGCGGGCCGTAGTTTGCCCATGGCTGATCTAGGCAGTATGTATGACTGAACCCAATTAAGGCCTCTATATAAACTTTTAACATTCTGGCAGGCGGGTGAGAAGATCTACTCTCGTGTGGCCACCCAAGCCCAGACTTGTTAAAACTGCTACCTACCAGGCTGGAGTGGTCTGCCTCGTCCTTCGGTCTCTCCTTGGCCTCCGAGTACGGGGGCCAGTTTGCAAACCAACATACAGGGCTTGATGGAAAAACAAACCCAAAATGGCATGTTAACATGAATAGTTTTATAAATTAAAGTACATGCACACAAAATAACACCTATTTTGTAAGAACACAGAAAGATCATCCATGTAACATGGTTGCCTATGGAGTGGGAGGAGGAGTTGGGAGGGAGTGTAGGGATCAATTAAATGATAAGCCAAGGTCGATGTGCCAGGAACTGCGGAGTAGGATGACCTCAATCATTTGCCCCTGAGGTTCTCTACTGCATGTGTGCACATGAAAAACACCAATATGGCACACCCATAAGATGAAATGCCATACAGCCATTGCATGTAATATTGCAGGCCTGTATTTATAGAAATTGAAATACAGTTGTGATTTAATACTAAGCAAAAGAGCAGGTTACCAAACATGCCATCTATTATTTCATTTTTTGGAAAAATAAAAAAATCTCTGTAAGTGGGGGAATGACAGGGCTGATGGGATTTCAGTGATTCAAACATTTTTCTTCTTGATTTTCTGTATTGCTAATTTGCTGTCAATAGCTATGCACCATGCAATAAAGAGCAAACAAGAGGTTTTGTTTTAAAGACTATTTTTTATATATTTTTACTAGAGGCCCGGTGCACAAAAATTTGTGCCCTCAAGGTGGGGGGGGGTCCCTCAGCCCGGCCTGTGCCCTCTCACAGTCTGGGACCCCTCGGGAGATGACCACCTGCTGGCTGAGGCCCGCTCCCAGGGGATTGGGCCTAAGATGGCAATCAGACATCCCTCTGGCAGCCCGGCAGCCCTCGAGGGATGTCCACTTGCCAGCGGGGAGCAGATCTAAGCTGCAGTCAGACATCCTTAGCGCTGCTGAGGCGGGAGAGGCTCCCACCACCACCGCTCTACTGGCAGCCATCAGCCTGGCTTGTAGCTGAGCAGAGCTCCCCCATGTGGGAGCGCACTGACCACCAGTGGGCAGCTCCTGCATTGAGCGTCTGCCCCCTGGTGGTCAGTGTGTGTCATAGTGACCAGTCATTCCCAGTCTTTCTGCTGTTAGGGTCAGCTTGCATATTACCCTTTTATTATATAGGATAGAGATCTGGTGCACGGGTGGGGGCCGGCTGGTTTGCCCTGAAGGGTGTACCAGATCAGGGTGGGGGTCCCGCTTGGGTGCCTGGCCAGCCTGGGTGAGGGGCTGATGGCTGTTTTCAGGCTGGCCACACCCCCTTTAGGGTGGGGGTCCCGACTGGCGTGCCTGGCCAGTCTGAGTGAGGGGCTGAGGGCCGTTTTCAGGCTGGCTGGCGACTGAAGCTCTCAGCCTCTCCTTTTTTTCTTTTTCTTTATTATTCTGGGATTTATTTACCTTCTATAATTGAAACGTTGTTGCCGTCACTGGAGCTGAGAGCCGGCTCCAGCTCTGAGGCCACGGTCTGCTGAAAGCAGGTATCTGGTGTTTGTTTAACTTCTATAATTGAAACTTAGTTGCTTTCGGAGCTCAGAGCCAGGCCGCGGCAGGCGGGGAACCTTGGCTTCCTCCATCACTGGAGGAAGCAAGCCTCCTGCTCGCTTCAGCTGCGTGGCTGCCGGCTGCCCTCTTTGTTGGCGGTTAATTTGCATATCGCCCTGATTAGCCAATGGGAAGCGTAGCGAAGGTACGGTCAATTACCCTTTTGGTCTTTTATTAGACAGGATTGATTTCAGAGAGGAAGGAAGAGGGAGAGATAGAAACATCAATGATGAGAGAGAATCACTGACTGGCTGCCTCCCGCATGCCCCCCACTGGGGATTGAGCCCGCAACCCGGGCATGTGCCCTTGACCGGAATGGAACCTGGGACCCTTTAGTCCACAGGCCGATGTTCTATCCACTGGGCCAAACCGGCCAGAGCTTAAGACTATTTTTGCTTTTACAGAAGTACAATAATAAAGAGGTCACTGGCTATGAGAATTTACTGGTACTAAAAGGTGACTTCTTCCTAAGGCTTTGTTTTCCAATGTACATGGTTAGGCCCCAGTTTTAGGGGTTGCTCTTTCCTTTTCCTCGAGGACAGAGGGAGCCCCACTTATTCTAAGGCTGCCCACTTGAACGGTCCAGAGAGCTGGGACTCGCATTACCGATGGCTCTGCGCTGATGGATGTGGATGGGTGTCCACATGAACTGCCCTTGGTCCCAACAGGAGTAAATCTGTTTCCAGCCCAGGAAAGCCACTTCTGCACAGCAGTTTACACAATGTGTGTGTGTGTTCTGAAGGGACAGCTTCCAGGCAAAGATTTAGACAGGTCAGGCCCTGGTGAAACCAGCCTGACAGGAAGAGTTGGAAGCCACAGCTGCTGGCTTCAGGCCACGCAGACTCTTCGTCCTTCGCCTCCCGGCTGCTGACAGCCATCTCCAGGCAGCGCGTAATGAAATCTGTTCAAGGCTTTCAGCTTTACAATTAATCAACTTTTTGTAAAGCTGTGTGGGGCAACAAAGAGTAACCAAATGCAACAGATCTTTCTCTTCCCACATCTGAGCAGACTTGACTGGCATGTAACGAAGCGTTCAGGGAACTGCAGTCTTGGGAGCAAATCCCCTTTTGGAAGTGCTTGCCTGCATCCACATATTGGAATTGACAGCCCGCCGCCAGCCCGTGACGTTAGGAAACAACGCTCTTGTCTTTTGGAACATGCGGTGTCGGGATCCGTGAGATGTCTTCCTCTGAGGGCTGGTGCTGACGACTCCAGGCTAGAGTTGAAGGGCCATAGAACTTGAATCTGGGCCACACTGACTGACATTCAAACAGCAATGAAACTGAGATTCAACAAAGCTGTGGTCATAATATAGAAGGTGTGTTCAGTATTAACTGGGGTTAGAGGTAGAATAAAAGAGGAAGGGCACAAAATGACTGTGTGGAGGAATGAATTAAAAAGGGGGGAGGAAATGAAAGACATCTGTAATAGTGTCAACAATTAAAAAAACATACGGCAGGAGGGAAGTTAAATTTGAGAACTGTCTTACCACTAAGTTCCTTAGTAAGTTCAGCAGGTCTATACTTAAGGAAGCATATTTCTGCAGTTAATACAGTGACACTTTTTTATGTTACATTTGTGAACTGAAAATCCTAGATGGGAAATTGCCTACTGATTAATTTAGAATTAATAAAGGAGCCTATTACCTAGAACGAATAGCTTCCTTGGCTCATGATTTCCCACCAATCATCACATTCGTAATTTTGCACCAAAAATTCAGTTGCTGAATTTTTTTCAGCCTGTAAAAAAGATGAAGTGGCGTACCTCATTCCCAGAGGTCCCTGGATCTGAATTAAATTACATGACATCTGGTAATGCTTATAAAGGTCAAGAGCTTTTGGACCAGAAAAAATCTAGATTCTAACCCAACCTCTTTACAGGCTGTACGTTAAGAAATTACATAGCCTGTCTGGGTCTGTTTCCTCACCTGTAAAATGGGGTGCCACCACCATCTGGTCTGAGGATTGTGTTTGGGCTCAAATGAGATGGTTGATGAAAAGCATCTATCTTGCCCAGGACTAAGCACATATATATTATTTTGCCCAGAACTAAGCACATATATATTAGACATTTTATATATATATATGTATATATATATATATATATATATATGATGTCTAACATATCCTATGTAATAAAGATGGAATATGCAAATTGACTGTCACTTCACAACAAAGATGACAGCGCCCACAGCCAATAAGGAGGGAATATGAAAATTAATGCACAAAGATGGCGGCGGCCAGCCCGGAATGAAGGCGGGAGACGGCGGCCAGAGTGAAGGCCCGGGTCCTGGGTGCCGGAGGGAAACCGGTGCCAGCAGCCAGGGGAAGGAAGGCCTATTCTTGCACGAATCTTTGTGCAATGGGCCTCTTGCAATATATATAATTCTATCATCTATCTATCTATTATAGGTAGACAATAAGCGTTGGGTTGCTTCTATCCTTCCTGATGGCTTCAATAGTTTTTAATTATGAGGAGACAGGAGGGAAGAAAAGGAAAGATGAGAGGACAAATGGTGATTGATGGAGCAAGGTTCTGGGAGACTCGAGGGAGGTGGTGTCACTGAGAAAGGACACCTTTTCCTGAGACCGTAGGGAGATGGTGAGTGTGGCAGCTGAAAAGTTTTGCAGGCAAGGAAGAAGGTTGTTAGAAAACAGGAAGGAGTTAAAGGAGACTTAATCTTGAAGAATGAATGGAACATGTTTGTGTAAGTTAAAAAAAAATTGGCAAACCTTTCCGCTCAACAGAGCAATCTGCAAAAACCCATGATTTCCATAATATAGTTATATTCACTAACATTTTAGAGATAGTATGTATGTGTGTCTATGCAAAAAACACACACCTTATTAGCCATTATCTTTTCATGCTAAATTTTTATTTCAATGTTATGCGACCGCATAAGTATAAATATTTCAATATACAACAATTAGGACATCCATAGGGAATTTCTTAGAGAAAATAAGACTGCAAACACTTTATTGCACAGATCCTAACAAACGTTAAGCTGGTAAATCTATCGTTGGGAGCACTACTGAGGGGCACGTCTTACAATCACAGGAAATGGACCAGAGGGAACACAGGAGGGTTTCTACCAGCTGACCGGAGAGGTTACCAACAACAGACAGTTATCACGTGAACGCAACCTTAGTACTCTTTACTCATCCAAAATGCAAAAACGTATTTGGCAAAAATGATAATATACTATACAAAATATACATAGATATGTCGTTTGTAAACAAGCACCTAGCTGTGCTTTAAAGGAAACTGGACAGTTAAGAAGCAACGGCTGTAAACCATGAACTGCCTCCCCGAAAGCCCTGTCTTGATGTCTGAGTGCAGAAGCCTTGGGTTATGACAACCAACAAACACAGATATGAATTATAAATGTTGAGACCACTTTTGAAACCCACTTAAGTTCTTATAAAATATTTGTTTCTTCTACAACTGATGGGGAATGGCTAAAACTACATGGGAAAAGATAGGGGCAAGAAGACTTCCTACTCTTTTTTTTTTTTTTCCTTTTGTCATTGCCAACTCATTTTACAGTGAAGGACAACCAAGTTAGTTAAATTATGCCTTTGTTTTTGGAGTGGAGTTTACGGCCCCGATAAATGATTTACAATCCACAGGGCCATAGGATGATGCTGTGCTTAGATGAAGAATTTTATAGCCTAAAGATACTAAGACATCCCCGAGGGGGCTTGGGTGCTGAGTTAGTATTCATTGGTAATTTTTTTTTCCTCTTACAAAAACAAAGCAAACATTCCTGCTATAGATCCCAAGCATCTTATAAATACTTATCTGTGTATATTTTCTCTTAGTACTTAGTGCCTTAGTACTTATGTCAGCAAGCGACATCTTACAATACAATACAAACCACCAGGAAAACTGCAATGGAAAACAAACAGAAAAACCCCTTCAGCACTAAAATGATTGGACAACTTCTACATATTCCATGGTATACAAAATTTAAATAAGGCTTAGCAAAAGTAAAAAGGACAGTCACATTCAAGCACCAAAATAGCTCCAACAGGTCTTTTTGTTACAAAAATGCTGCTCTTTATTAAAACAGTCTTTTATTTTTGCATACAAATAAAGAGATCATGTTATGAAATGTATGGAGCTACTCGATGCATCCGAAATGAATGTGAAACCCAGGAACTTGCTAAAAACAGCAAGCTTCATCTACAACATAAGGCCCCAGCTATGTATTAAAAGGTATCTTGATGTCCTGATTAATTCTTAATATATATGCTGTGATGCCAAAATCTACCCCCACCCCCTTTCCCGTCCAAAAGCAAATTTAAAACCTCTTCCAATGCCTGATGCTCAACCGAGTAAAACTCAACCTAAGTCCTGGCAGAGTTGCGTGCAGCCAGTAATGTTCCTTTTTGTCTGAGAGCAGAGCTGGTGCAGGACTACAAAACGTGTGCTTCTTAGACTAGCGACTCACAGCAGAAAGGCCTGAGTTTAAGAGCATGAGCAGGAGAAAATGCAGGAGAACAGACATCAAGATCATGTGTGTTTATAGACCCCGCTCCCCCTGGGGTGAAGACCCGACACACACAGCCACAGACGAGGACGGCTGGCCTTCAGACAGGCGGACCCGGGCGCGAAATGCCCACTAGGATGACCGTGAAACGAACGTGGCTACCTCCACGGTCTGGCCCTTCCTGATGGAGGAGGGTTCTAAATGCAGCAATTAGAGAACTTCTTGCTTTGGATCTGGAAACACGGGCAGCCAGATACAGTCCTATCAACATCTCTGGTTACAAATGCACATAAAAACTCACAAGCTACGGTGGGTAGGGCTTTCTTGCATCTTTACCTCTACTTAGGGTGTTTTAACTTAGGAACATGTAGTCTTGAAACAGTCTCTCAAACCACAGACAAACACATGTGGTGGATGCGTGTATATACACGAACATGGGTGGATCTCTACTTTCACATACATCGGTTTTAACCTTTTGCTTCATTACTACATCACGATAAGTGGTAAAGCAAAAATCTTATTTTTTCTTTTTTAAAAGAAAAACTGTCATAAATGACACGATCAGCAGCAAGGTACAGACTCTACATCCCAAACCCAACACATGGCCAGATATTTACAGAGAAAATCCTTTCCTCAACAACCCTCGGCTGTGAAGGTGTTTATTGTTTCTTGCACAAACACTATCTGGTAACAGCTTTACCGGTGACCACGGGGCAGGCATTTGGAAGAAGGTCCCTTTCTTTCCACCTTCTCTCCCTCTCCCCTCCTTCGGCAAGACTCCAGGCTCGGCCTGCAATGCTCCCACAGTGCTGGTTTTGAAAGGTAGTCAGGACTCAGTGACCCATTCCGGGAGGGTCCCCCAGGGCCTGCCCCCTTAAGAGGCCTTTTTGTGAGGGCTGCTCCGCAAACCCTCTTTCCCCCGCCTCTGCCGGACCACGGAGTCCTTCTCGGAAGAAGGGGCGACGGGGCGGTCTGTGCCGGGCGCGGGGGACGGCTTGGTCACCTCTCTGCCCGCGTTCTGTTTCCTGGTCTGAGGCTGGGCCGGGGCAGGCTCTCTCTCTTTGGTTTCTCCTGGGGGGGCAGTTACTGAGAGGGCCCTGTCCCGGGGCCCGGCACCCCACGCCGTGGTTGGGTTGGGGTGCTGTAACTCCACCGTGATGGAGGAGCTCCTGAAGGAGGGCAGGGAGTCGCTCTTTGTCATGTGGCTCCCGCCATTGCCCCCAGAGGGGGGTTTCCTCTGGTCCCTGCTGCTGGGGGCTGTGGGCTCGGCCGTGGCCCCGCTGGCCTTGGCCGAGGCGGGGTCGCTGCTGGCCGCGGGGGCCTCGCGAGCGCCTGGCCTGGCCTCGGGAAAGCTGGAGGAGGTGCTCAGACACTTCTCCGGGAGGGCAGTGGGCCGGAAGGAACTCTGCCCGATGGCCGAGGGCGACCGCTTCATGCCGCTGGGCTTGCCTGCCTCGGGTGGTGGCTTCTGGGCACTGAGCCCTCTCCCCTTGGGGTCTGGCAGGCCCTTCCCCGCGGCCCCTGCCGGCCTCTCCGTGCCTCTCAGCCTGGCCTCGCCCTGTGCCAGGGGCAGGCTGGCCTCCAGCTTCCTGCCGTCCGTTGGACCATAAAGTGCTTCCATGCATTTCTTCCCTTCAGACTTCCTGTCTGCGGTGGCGGCCAGGGGACTAGGGCTCTTGTCTGTCTGTCTGCACGGCGGGGGGCCGTCTCTCACAGTGGGTGGTTTGGGGTGCTTTGGAGACAGGTTTAGCTTTTCACTGACAGTGGGAAGTTTCTGGTCTACAGACTCGCTGACCCCGGGGTGTCCTTGCCGTGGCGGATGCACGGGCCTCTCCAGCGCCTCCGGGGCACGCCCGCCTTCAGTGGGCTTCAGCTTGGTGTCCAGGGGACCCGCTTTGGGGGGCAGTGAGCCTGAGGGCCCACTTCCTCCCTGGCCGATCACATGGCTGGCTGTGTTCTGGGAACCTGGGAGGGCAGGGTACACATTCGACACGCCCTTACTGCTGCCCTTCCCGTCTCGGCTGGGGCCGCTGGGGGAGCTGGGGCCGCTGAGGGGCTGTGTGCCAGGCTCTCTGGCCACCGCAGCCCCCATGCCCAGCCTCTGGGAGGCGAGGGGCCGGTCTGGGTGCTTGGACTTTGCAGGGCTCGGGTCAGGGGCAGGCCCGGGCTTGTGGCTGCTTTCACCATGCACAGCAGCGGGCCTGGGCGGGTCTGGGAGGCCCAGGCTGGGCTCTGCAGCCCAGGGCTTGCTGCCCAGCTCTCTGCCTGAGGAGGGGCTGGGTGCGCCACAAGGCTGCCGAGCCGGGCTGGGCAGGTCCTTGGCGATGGGTGGGGGCTGAGAGCCGCTGCTGAGCCACTGCTGCAGCTGTTCTTTCCTCTCTGGTTCCCATGGATCGTCTCTCTGCAAAGAAGGGAAACTGCGGAGCTTGTCACTCTTCCCACCTTCTGGAGGCTGCAGAGACTGCCTGGCAGGAGGGGCTTGTGATGTGGGTTCCGGGCCGCTCCTTCCCTTGCCCAGCTCCCGCTCACAAGGCGTCCCCGTCCCCACGGGGTGCAAAGAGGGGTCCTCTCTGGCCAGTGGCCTCACCTCCTCTCGGCCATCCCTGTGGCTTGGTTTCCCACAAGGCCCCCGGGCTTTCTCCGTGGCCAGGGTCTGTGTGTGGACATCTGAGCGGGCTCCTCCCACAGAAGGGAGATTTCTGTTGTCACTGGTTTTAGCAGCTTGTGGAGGACTCGGCTCCATGGAGGGCTCTCTGCGGACGGCGGCCCTTGCAGCCTGCGGCTCTGTTCTGGCTGTGGAAGGGCCCCTCTCTGTCGGTTCCCTCCCACTCGGCTTCTCCCGTGAGGGGACACCTTCGGGTGGGGGCGGGCCCGGTGCCCTGGATGGGTCGGCACCACGCAGGGTCTGCCCCAGCGCGGGCAGGCATTTCGTGTTGGAGCTGGGATCTTGGCGTTTGCTGGGCCCGCCCTCTCTCCGCTGGGGATCATTTTCCATGTCTGACGCGGGGCTCCTGGTGGCCTGGGAAACGTTCTTGTCCTGCTTCAGCGCTGGGTCAGGCTGGGGAGCCGATGGTGAATTCTGGAGACCCCGGCTGGGTGGCAGGAACCGAGGCTCGAGCAGGTAGGACTTGTTCACCTTGAAGCCAGCAGGGGAGGACTCCCTCTGACCAGCAGCATCTCCCTTCCTCCCATCGCTGGGAAGGGCGGGCGGCGCACCGGGCCCCAGGGCACTGCCTGGGCCAGGGCCGGGACTCTGCATGGGTTCGGGGGAAGGCAGCTCAATCTTGGAGGCCTGAGGTCCAGACAGGAGAGCAATGTCCAACGTGCCCTCGATTGGCTTCAGGCAGGACACAGACCTACCTTCCAGCTTGTACTCAGAAGGGCTTTTCCGGGCAGGGGGCTCGGGAGCCACCGGGCCCGGCTTCTCTGCCCCACCGTCCACCCGGCCGGCCAAGGCCTTGAGAGGGACGAACACCACGCCGCCCATCGGAGCTGCATGGGCGCTGCTGCTGAACACCCGGCTCTCGGAGGCCGGCGCCTCCTGCTGCCCGCCCGTGGGCCGGACCGCGTTCCCGGGCAGGCACTCATGGGCACTGGAGGTCATCTTGGGCTTGAGCACGAGACAGAGGTTGTCATCTTTGTCTTCGAGGGACACTTTCTTGCGGAGGTAATCCATGCTGGCCAGCTTGCTGTCTAACTTTTCACATCGGAGACACTCCTTGGCCTGGGGAGCCTTCTCCACAGCGTCCCCCCTCCCGGAGGCGGACCTGTCGGGGGAGGGACAGGGGCTGTCTTGAAGGGTGCTGGGTGCAGAGGCTGGTTTGCCCTCGCAGGTGCCCTGGCTGTGGTCCGCGGGGGCCTGGCCCCGGCCCGCTGCCGCCCCGGCCGAGGCGCTGGCCGGCTTGTGGAGCGCACCCTTCAGCAGGCCGCCCGGGGCCGGGGCCTCCTGCCCGGCTGCTTTGTTCTCAAAATGACTGGACCTTTCCAACGTCTTTGGGTACATTTTCTTCTCCCGCTCCTCTAGCCTCACCGCAGAGTGGTTTTCCGAGTCACTCCCGAGGGGGTGAGACTTCGGATGGGGTTCAGGTTTCTCGGGGAAGCCGTCTGGTTTCTTCACCACCACCTTGACCTTCAGCTTCTCTCGGTCCAGGTCGTCCACGGACTCCTGCCGGCCCAGCTTCCGGGAGGCGGGGCGCTTCAGGCAGCCCTGCTCCACGGGCCTGGCCCGGCTGAGGGCAGGCGTGTCGCACGCGGTCTCCTCCAGGCTCTGCAGGGTCACTTCCCGCTGGGAGGGCTCCCGCTGCACCTCCTCCTGGGTCACCTCCAGGCTGTGCTTTCGGGAGCACAGGTGCTTCTTGTCGCTGCCGTAGGCCGGGGAGAGCTTCTCCTCAGACTGCACGCGCTTGAGCAGCGGGGACCGCGGCGGCTCGGCGCTCTTGGGCCTCACGATGTGTCTGACGATGGTGGGAGGGGAGTGCATTTTGCTGGGAAAGGCTTGCACGATCTTGGCATTGCCCAGGGGGGGTCCCAGCAGAGGGGACGGGGACCGCTGCGGGGAGGTGGGCTGTGGAGTTGGAGACGGGGTCCGGGCCAGCGGGGAGAGCGGGATGTTGCCAGCGGACTTACGCCTTCCGGACCGGTAGCGCTGTCCGCTGAGTTTGGGGGCCAGACCGTGGAGCGTGCTGGGCCGGATGTGTCCTGACCCTGCTGGGGAGTTGGGGGCACTAGAACTTGGGGAGCTGCTCTGCGAGGAGTTAGTACCTGGGGGTAGAAAACAGAATGCTGTGAGCAACAGCCACCTTCTCTCCCCTTCCCACCCTCCAGCCCAAACTGCTTCAGGCAGAGGTCAGGCCAAGGTCAGCAAGCTGTCAGCATCCAACTCTAATGAATGAACACTTTTTGGATAAACTTCCCTACACTAAGTTTTAACCCAACACTTCCTATCTTATTTTAATGGTCCGAAGAGCCCTATCTAATGACCTCCAGGCAGGAATAATCCTCAGGGGTTTCGGGATTTAAGATGGTGACTTTGACCTCCTCTCAACTCTCCCTTGCTGTCCTGGCCAGGAGACTCACTCACCAGATGGGAAGTCGGGGGTGGAGCGGTAGCTGGGCGTGGGAGATCGGGGAGACAGGCTGTGAGTGGGGGACCCCGGGAGGCTCTCCCCCGAAGACAGTGATCGGTTCAAGCAGGAGAAACTTCGGCTGGTGTGGAGTAGAGGAGAAGGCTGCTTCGCTAGTTTTTTGAAAAGGGATCTCCTCCTAGAGTGAAAACAAGAGAAAATGGATCAGATTCCCTGTCCAGAGCCGCTCCTGCCTCCGCACAATTCCTGCGTTCCAGTCACACCTCTGTGCCGGAGGCGTGATATGATGGCAGATCCTATTAAAGAGTAGGATCCCACTGTTCTATTAAAAATGTTTGGATGACTTAGAAAGGAAGATAACACACTATGGAAGCTCTCTGAATTCCAAACTCTTTAAGACGAGCTGGGGAAATACATTAAGTATATATCCATTTATTTATTGTCAGGTTTATGAGGAGGGTGTTCTTTGCCTGAAGGCTTCTGAGTATGTGCCCCCAGATGCTGACACACTTTCACTAAGAGATAATACCCAGTAAACCTCTGGAGGAAAAACCATCTCGGATATAAGATTCTTTAGTGGTGACACACTGGGCAGAGGCTTTATCTGTGAGGGGCTGTTCTGGGCTTATCCCGCTGTGGGCTCCTGACTATTCCTAATGACAGTGCAGGCTGTCCATTTCCATAGACACGTGGGAAAGGTGAACTGAAGCTTATCCTATCAGCAGGGCAGCAGCCGCCTCGCTGCAGCAGAAGCAAATGTGTACTCAGTGCTCAACAAGCACAGCCTCGAGCGAGCAGAAGGGGCAGCCTCCCGCGGCTCAGAGGTGCAGGCGGCTGCGCAGGGCTCCTTCACCCTCCCGCAAGCCCGACCCACCCCTCGGAGCGTAAGCAAGAAGGGCAAACACTGCTACCCCTGGAACAGCGTGCTCTATATGACTCACAGCACAAACGAAATAGAAGGCACACATCAAAAAGGGAGCATCTCAGAATGTATGTGTTGTGCTGTATGCGTGTGTAATTTTAACAAAAGTAATGAGGGCACGTGGGTTAAAAAGCCAAACCATTTTATAAACTTACAGTGAAAAATAACCACCCCCATCCTCTGCCTTCTTTTGCCCCCTCTCCAGAGACGAGGAGTGCGTCTTCGCCCATCTCATCAGTCTGCACATTGCTAAGCAGTGAGCTTACATTACTTTTTAGTTTTTCCGTCTCAGAAAGTATCTGCTGCTGTCCTACCACAGAAGATGAGAACTAACCTCTTCTGCAACCCCCTTCCACCTTCTGACCAAATACACTTCCCCTTTTTTATTCCCCTCAACAGATAAAAAAAATTTTTTTGGTTAAAAAAAAAGGCTGGTGTTTTCTTTGTTGTAAGTATTGTTCACAGCTGGGCCATGGGAAGCTTAATTCTATTTCCTTTCTTGTACAGCTTTGTCTTTCCAGGGGTTGATGAGCATCCCTTTTACATTTGCCTTTTCCTCCTACATTTCTATCACAAAAAACCCCCTGACTATGATCAGACACATCAGATTCAAGAGGGGAAGGGAGGGCTGCTGCAGCATCCTGCAGGGAGCACATCCCAACAGCTGCCTGGCAAGAAACGCCCCCGCCAGGGACGCCTGCCGCATCTTGCACGCAGCACAGAGAGGTACCCACGACGCCTCCCAGACAGCCCACAGTAGCTTGGCCAGACTTCCAGTCAGTAAGACAAAGCCCTTTTATTTCTAGGCTTATTTGGATGCTCTTAAGATGCAGTTATTTCCGAATATCTGGCATTTAAGAAATACCAGCCATTTTTTCGATAGTGCAAAGGACATTATTAAATGTAGATTTAATGTTAAGAACTGCTTGAGGGTCCAGTTCCTCAAATCCAACCCACATGGAATGAAGTCTAGAGGCTTTGGAAACACCCAAGGGCTTTTCACAGCTCTTACATGCGAGATAAAGCAACCTGAATCACAACGGTTAGGTTTACAACATAGCTACATAAACCTTCCCACTATGAAAAATAATGCTATTACGAATATGAACTTTCATGTATAACTATATGTGAACCACAGCATAAAAATCGCTCATCTATAGCATTTAAATTAGGTAGGGAGTAACTCTCCTCCCACATGGGTATCCACTGAACTCCCAAAGAATAACACTGCTTGAACTAACCGTTCTAGACTCTCTTTCTTCTTAGATTTCTTGCTCCGCCTCACCATCCGGCTCTTATAGCTGTTTCTCCTGGCTGGTCCCGTTTTGATTGATGTGTTTTCAAATGGGGTCGTAGTGATTGATACCTTATTCCCACTCTATAAAAAAAAAAGAGATGGTATTAAAGGGAAATGCTGTAATAAAACAAGATGAGAACAGAGATAGGAGGCTCAAACACAAAGATACATAAGGACATACACACAAAAGGACCTCCATTTCTAAATAACCCTTTAAACTATGAAGTCCTGGAGAATGCAAACTGGGTGGAGACACAATGGAAGGTTTCTTTAGAGGGTGGGCTCTGATCTGAGTTCAAATCCGAGCTCTGGGAATGGAGCGGGCTGCTCCTCCTCCCTCGCCTCCGCTTCCTGTGCTACCTCACAGCTGAATCACACCTTCTCTGGGGCTCCTCTGAGGACCACATGAAGGACAGAGTCGGTAAAGCCCTCAGCCCCACTGTGACCCCTGGAAAGGCTCTATAAATAACAGGTAGCATCATCCATATGTATGAAACATAAATAATGCGCCCAGAGCTGTCTCCTTGGTTGATTTACTTTTCTTTTTTCTCATGTTTGTGTTTTTCCTTTGACCTAGAAATCAAAGAGTAACAAAATTGAAAGAGACTTATATTTTTTCTTTATTTTAAAAGGTTCCTTTTCTATCACCATAAAACCTGCCGAGCTGGGAAGTTTATGCCAGTGAGCACGCAGCAGCCTCTCTCCACCCAGGCGCGTGTGGTGAGGTCATCCCGTGGGCCTCGTGCGCTTTCACGCAGTCCTGGGCAGGGGCTTCATAAACAATTTAAATCTTAAATTATTCTAACATCTAGTTTCATGTTGCTGTTCTTTTCATTTCACATTATAAAACTTTGAAACACTTTGCCTTCATCACTGAATATTCTTTAAGAATGCATTTTAATTGGCTATATTATAATATTCTGTGAGATGGGTGGATCAAAATTTAACTATCTCGCTACTGCTACTGCTTTCTACTTTTCAATTTATATAAGAGTTGAAATAAATGTCCTTGTCTACATATCACTGTCCTAAGCTCTGACATTTTCCTTAAACTGGGCAATTAGACTCCAGGCACTGAATCACGCGGCCTATCCGAACTTCTTAAAGACCCCCGTACAGACTGGTACACTATTTCCCAGAGGGTTTATGTCAGTTCACACTCTTGCCAGCAGCACACGTGTACCTATCTTACCACAGGCCTGTCAGAACGGAATATTGACATTAAGCAAATTACCAATTTTATAGGAAAAAGTTATGTCAAGTTTTAATCTTCATTCCTTGACAATTAACAGGCTGAATGTAGTGTCACTGATTTTGGTCATCTGTGTTTCTTCAGGAAATGTTTTGTTCACGTCTTACATCTAATTTAGTATCTGAGAGTCTTAGTATTTTGTTATTGATTTTAGAGTTCTTTATATAGTTAAGAATATATAGTCCCATACCTAATGCCATAATTATAAAAATGTTTTATGGAAATGGATTTGAAATTGAAAGAGAAAAAATTATTTTTCATTATTAAAGAATATATTATATATTCTATATGCAAAATGACAAAACTTTAAAAATAAACCTTGATCTGATAGTAGAGACTGGCATTCTATTATATTTAAATAGAAAATTCTTGTTAATATGAAAGGTCTACCAATGAAGGTTGTTTGGGATGGGGTATTCCTTCTCTTCACAAACTGAGTGAAAGCATACTAAAATTTTGTTTTTTCCTATGCCTCAGGTGAAGGAAAAGGGCAAAAATGTGGCGTTTGGAGCTTATCTTTCATTGCCGTGCTTTCAATCTTTCTCCACACTCACTCAGATGGACACACAGGGCCATAATGATCACTGGGGTGTTCTGTCTTATGGGCTACCGAATCCAGTCTATACTTTTCTATCATAATTAACATCGACTTCTATGTCTTTAGAAGAAGATAACAATGCCACCTGGTATTTTAAAAGCGCGTTATGGATATTGAAGTATTTTTCACATGTGTTCTTTTTCCAGGCCACGAGGGTTATTTTTTTTACAACCCTATGAGGTGCGAAGAGATTGTTACCCTTCCTTGCATTATAGGAAAGGAAGGCGGATTCACAGACATTCGTCCTTCCCAGGGCCACAGCGCCAGTGCAAGAGCCCAGAGCTGGCTGTCCTGACCCTCATCTCCACTGCCCGCTCCTTATGGGCAGGGCAGGCCCTGGCCCTCCCATCTGTCGTGTTCTCAGCAGAGTGCACGGCTTGTACTTGAGAAAAAGTGGTGGTGACGGAACAGGCCCTGACAGACAGGAAGAACAATCATAGAATCAGACTGTCAAGAAGAAATTAAGGAGATATAGACATTTCAAAACACTTCAGAAAATAAATACAGTTATAACCAGGAATGCTAAAGCAGAACACGTCACTAGACTATACAAATGTCCCCTTTGCCTATGAAAGCCAAACCCAGTTTTCTCTTTCTTGTTTCTACATGTGGCTATTCCAGAGGACAACTCACCTGACTTATGGAAATACAATAAGAGACAATGTCCCCAGATACAAAGATGCAGAATACCAATAGCTAGTTAGAAACATTAATGATTGTGGAAATGATAAATGACTAGAAGATAGCTTCACAGAGAATAGGTGACAAGTAGGAAGCCTGCCACCTGGTGGATGCATCAGCTATAGCGAGTGCTGCCTAAACTTGGCACAATGTAGCTAACGGGGTCAGTTCATCCTCAGTACTGGACGTTCTGTTGGCGAATGAGCAACCTCTCATCAGAGAAATTCTGGGGTACTTGTTTAAAAATAACAAAAACAGGGCCAGCAGACTGTTAAATGTTCAGTTAGTTCTCTTTTACTTCAAACCATTTGTGTGATTAGGGCACAGTGGGAGGGAAATTATTTCAGCTGATGGAACTGAACACAGAGCAGAAGTCATCTACCCAATCTCTTCTCTCCATCTGGCTCCACATTAGTTAGCTGTTGGCCTTGGGTACCTTGAGCTAGACTGTTCTCCCATTTATTTCTTTGCAAAGTGCACATGGAGAAGAGCATCTTCCTGCACAGCCGTGTCCTTGCCCTGATCCGCACCCTCCACAACCTGGCCCCAGCCAGCTGCCCACTGCATCCCCTTTCTAAACCCAGGCTCCAGCCACACTGGTGAACTCATGCATCTCTAGCACTTGAGCTCTCCTGTGATGTAATCTCCTTGTGATTTAATGCCCTCTCTTTGTATTGCCTCCCCTTCCCACATACTAAACACCAGCCTTCACAGCCCGTCACAATGACCCCTAACTCCTCACACCTGTCCACCTGGAGGAAGGCCATCACTCCTTCAGAACTCGGGCCATAGGTACAGTCTGTTGCTTATGTTTAACACTTGGACTGTCGCCTGGAATTGCCACTGTCTCCCCTGGGAACATCGGACGCTAAGTTCCTGGCAATCGGAGAACGTAATGGAGGACCACTCTGGTACGGTGCTCAGGCCTGCAGTGCCGGGTGCAGATCCTCTTCTGCTCCTTCCTGGCAGACAAGCTTGGGCTGCTTGGCCAACACCTCTCTGCTGTACCTCTTCACCTGTAACAGGGGGCATTTATATTCAAAGTACCTACCTCCCAGGTTGTGAGGATTCCCTGAGCCTAGTCATCTAAAGCACTATTTCCTATTACGCTTGCGTGTCATTTGTTGGAGGACCCTTGCAGTCCTTAGCACAATGCTCTGCACATTTCAGGGCTCAGCATTTATGTGAGGGTGGTAATAATGAGGCTATTTGATGGTCCCCACTTTAGTATCCAGAGGTTCCCCAGAGTTCATGCAAATGAAAATTTTGAAGTAGGGGAAGTTTTATAGGGCTTGTCTTATGCATTGGGGATTTAAACTAGTGCTATCCTAAGAAGGCAGCCTGGTTGAGAAGAGAGTTTCCTGGATTAGAGAGGTTAAGCTAGGCAGGTTATCACGTGAGCAGGTGATAAGATTGGGTCAATACGGCCTCCACTGGCCACTACAGCGAGGCCATGAAACAAACATGGAATACACTAACCATGCTCACAGTCGGAACGATACGTAAGTAGTGTGTTTCTAAATACACACATGCAGCCCTGTGTGATGGCTCTTCCTCCTTTTGCTAAGGGTGCATGAGCTTTTATAAAGTAGTCTGTGAGTATAAAACCCCACGTAAGCAGCATCCAAGAACGCTGAAACACAGCTCCCACACCGACGCCCCACCAGCGATGGCACGGAGGAGCCCAGTGTTGACACTAGACACTTTGCACGCTGTCGGAGACTGCTGGGTAAATTTGGAAGAAAGTGGCATGATTACACAGTTCACTGGGAAGATAATTAAATCCCTCGTATCCTCTTTGTTTCGTTACACTGGCTACTCCTCTTGAGTGCTTCCTTTATGAACAAGAGGCAGGATCCTCTGCTTGGATCTGTGACAGCGCGCATGGCTCCGAAGGGTGCCAATGGCTCGCCACTCCAGCATGTCTATGCAGGCAGCAGGCAGCTTCAGAGAGCACACTGACTAGGTGCAGGAATGGAAGCACTCTGTAACCAGATAATATAGATGGAATCGTGTGATTCTGCCAAGAGACCTTGCCAGAGAAATGGACATCCAAGTTTCAACGAAGCAGAAAGAGAGGTTTTAAGACACAGAATCCTGTTAGAATACTTTATCAAATAGATGATGAAAATAATCAATTATGTCTCAGCATCTCTCCTACAGGCTGCTGTCCGGTCTGCTGTGTGTTCAGCATGCCCACAGCTGATTTCTAACACTGCCTAGGGCTCTGCAATGCTCTCCTCATAGTCAGCCCTGTCCCCTGGTGTAGGTGAGAAAGCTGGCTAGACTTAGAGGACGCCCTGTGAGCATGGATGACAGCGAATCTAGCCCCCAGCCCACGGGACACCTGAGCCCAAGACGAATATCTCATTAATGCTGTGCATCCGCCAATGGCAACAACTTCTCTACAGTCTGCTACTTCACAATGGACCCTTGAACATACATGCTATTCTACTCTCGGTACCTGGGCCAGATTCAGGGAATGACAAAGAAGGAGGAAAAAGGTCACTGAACTGAACTTATTCTGAAAGGCTTTCCACACCCACTTCCCTGTAATACCTCCCAAGTTCCTCATTTTCTTTCAAGTTCCAGTTAAACGTCATTTCCCTGTGATGCCTCTTCCACTCACAGAATCTTTTCTCCAAAAGTATGAGATTCCTCCCTCTGCTATAGCCCTGAATGGTTAAGTTAGTTGAATTTTATCCATTTACATATCTTCCATAGTCCTTGAGGGCAAGAATTATACCTAATTCCTGTGCTGCTACTTTCCTATGGTACCTGCGCAAGGCCGGTGCGCTAGGAATGGTCTGAGTGCATGTTATCTAAATGGCAGGTATGTGCACAAGCTTCCTCTCCATAGGCCCCAGGTGAGCTGCAGCACGGGCTCGCACCCGGTGGCTGGCAGCGCCTTACAGTGCTCAGGGAGCAAGGAGGTCATCTGAAAATCTGTTGAACTGTAAAGCAATCCTATAGCTAGAGACACTGCACTCTAATTGCAGGAAAATTAGCCTTTGTTTCTGAACAAAATGTAACATCAATCTCAAATTCATCTTTATTTGTTTTAATCAAATCTATGTTTGGAGCTAAAACTTTATATTCTGGTGTCAGCAGGTGGCAAAGCAAAGAACTCGGAAAAAGGAAGGGGATCTGTGTAAGATTCACTCTCCTCTCCTTTCATGCTTCCCGTGATCTTCCTCCTCCCTGGGCTTTATTCAGCTTTAAGTAGAAAGTGATCTCTATGCAAAGTCATTTGCATGGAGCAGGGGTCCTCAAACTACGGCCCGCGGGCCACATGCAAATACAAATATTGTATTTGTTCCCGTTTTGTTTTTTTACTTCAAAATAAGATATGTGCAGTGTGCATAGGAATTTGTTCATAGTTTTTTTTTTAAACTATAGTCCGGCCCTCAACGGTCTAAGGGACAGTGAACTGGCCCCTGTTTAAAAAGTTTGATGATCCCTGGAATGGAGGGAAAGGCCTACTGGTTGCCAGAACCCATTCTTCCATTACCACCTATGTATACGATTGGTAGTAGACATGTTTCCATTCACAATTCTGTCTTTCTGAGGAAACCCAGCTCTCAGGCTCAACTTTCAGATCAGACCCCATAGCTTTACACCACTCTGTCTTACTCCACTAGAATAAAACCTCTTGAATGTTCCTGAGCAAAATCACCTTTAGTTGATTTCCAACCAGATTTTTCTATGTGAAGTACATAAAACAAATTTTTCTTTATAATTTTGGATAAGAGGCAAAATTAAATTAGGAGGTGATTATGCAGATATTCATGATATAAACCCAGAGAATTCCTATCTTTGTCTTTGACAATAAACCCGAGACTACTGACTAAGTCCTCAGTAATGAGCCTGCATGTGTGGCGTGTGCTGAAGAAGGACCCTGGGACCCAGGCATGTAATTCTTGGTACCAGTTCCTTCTGGCTCTGCCCTGTCTGCATGGTCGTGACATAAAGACAGTACCTTCAGCAAGAGCTCTATCACTTCCGTGTGGACGAGTCCATGCACCGGCTCTCCATTGATGTGTGTGATCAGGTCCCCGGCCTTCAGGCCCGCCTGGCAGGCTGGGCTTCCTTCTTCTACATTCTGAAGTCCAAGAGGAGAGGGCATATTAATAAGCAAACCAATGACAACCCTAAGCCTACTGCTTCTAGTGCCAGACTATTTCAAGTTAAGTATCAAATGATCCTAAGCTCCTAAGAGTATTAAAAAGGCATGTTTCCTGCTTCTACTGTCATCATCCTAAAACAGGGTAATTTCTATGTTTTCTTAAAAAATTCAGGATATTACGAAGGTAGTTTTTGTGCGTGTTTTTTTTTTTTTTTTAAAGGCGGTCAATAAAAAACAAACAAACACACAGGAAAAAAAAACAAGAACAAAAGAATAAAGAAGGATGGAAATAGGATTGTCTTTTGGCCCTTTCAACCAGCTTGTTACAAAGAGTAGACAATCAAATGTAAAAACTGGACAGAACTATGCGCAAGGATTTCTTTTTGCTAAATTCAATTGTGTCATATAAATCAAGGGAAAGAGCACAAAAGGAAAGTGGAACAGGTCCCAAATACCAGCTTAACAGGAAATATATTTGCTGTTATGTCTGTCTTAGCCCACTCACCCATTCCCCAGTTTGGCTGGGAATAAAAAGCAACAAGGACAAGAGACTGCTGGTCTTACCCAAACGATGTGGTGCACTGTATAGACGTCACTGTCGCCCACGTACACCCGGATGGCTCGGATGGTGAACCCATAGTTCTTCCCCGAACTGTGGATGACCACGGGCTGATGCGGACTGGCAGAGGCTGCCGACGAGTCCCGGCTGGGAGAGGAATCCCGTGAAGAAGAAGGGTCCGAGGACAGGGAGTGGGGAGACATTGGACTCCCCAGTGGGGAAACGGCAAACATATCTGCAACAAAGAAGCCAGTCATCAACACCCATGCTGGCCACACGCGCATGCATGCAGCCAGCCCTCACCACGTCAGCCCTGCTGGGATTGGGAGCGTGGTTGCAAAACAAATGCATTCATTCTAGCAGAAAAGTAAAGGAGAAATAATATAAAAATATCTCTATGGGTCAGCAGTATGGATTTCAAAACAGAGGTCTGCCAAGGAAACTTCGAACGTGTCTGTATTTTAACGAGCTTTCATTTCATAAACTAAAGGTATAATTTCTTAGTTCTCTATGCTAATTAAAACACACACACAACACTTAGCTACTATCTAGCTGTGATGCTATTTAATGCATTTTATTTCACTTAAAGAAACAACTCATAGATGCACGAATTTGAAGTTCACGCCCACAGGGCAGACCGTGTGGACTAGAGTAAAAGATTCTCAGGCTCCAACTTTTGCCCTAAACAACTTTCACATGGTCCTTTTCAAACACCCATGGCCAGGAAAGAAAGGTGTAATTTCCCCGCTGTTTTTACATCACATTATTGAACTAGTACTGACTAAAACATTGAATCAAGAAAGCACTGAAATGGTAACTTTTTTTTTTTATAAAAGAATCACTCCTTATTACTATGGTTACAAGTGATTCTCTTCCTGTAGCACCTGCATTTCTAATAAGGTTTCTGAAAGGACAATGCAGGTGAAACAGAGAAATTTGAAAGGAACTCGGTTCACAATCCAAAACACCGATTCTGCTCCCTTTTCCTTGTTTTATAAGCAAATGCCTTGTCATGTATAGTTCATATCATTGTTCCAGCCGTGTGAATCTACACAGATTTCCACTGGTCACGTGAAACTGTGTGTGTGTCTGAGAAAAAGAATAATCTACAAAGGATGCTGCGGTTGAAATGTGAGCTCAGCGGGAGCGAGGCTACGGAATGCCACGCCGCGGGAGACGCAGCAGGGTGGCGAGTCGCCCTGCGGCCACAGGAAGCTGAGAGCATCCGTACCTCACTCGTTCCCATTCTGATGTCTGTGCAAAGCAGAACAATGAGCTAAATGTGCCGCTGCCCATGTCCCTTCACTCTCTGACCTCATGCGGCCGCTCGGTGTTCTTTTGCTGGCGACCTCCTGTCTATTCAAAAGACATACACTGGTGGGCGGGGGACTTCAAAACATGCAAGGAGAAGAGGACAGGGTGGATCTGCAGATCCAAATTGATGGAAAGCCGGGACTTGGATCAAGCATGTCAAACTTGCGGCCGGTAGGACGCACGCCTCCTTTAAAAGGCCCGCCGGCCACGAGTTTGACATGCTTGCCTTGGGTCCTTTACCTCATGATGGTTTCCCTTTTCTCCCCAAGTTGAATAGTTGCCCTGCTTTACCCAGATGCGGGCTTTCTCACCAGCTTTCAGAAGTGACTGGGCCACTCCACACTTACCTTCCCGGCGGCTGCTGCACTGGGGCCACTGCCTTTGGGTACGAACAGTCACGTAAGCTAAAGGGGTACGGGTTTGCTTTATGGTGCCAAATGGATGCCTCCCAGCAAACAGAACATGGTAAGGTGAGTGCTACCCCCAAATGAGCATTTGTTTATATCCGGTTTCTTTCTGCACCAATTTCAAAAATATAAACAATCTCTTTTATACATGGTCTGGATTCTTCCACGTGCAAGCCATCTGCCATAGAGTCCAATTGCCTCTTTCACTCTACCATGCTGTCGCTTGAATGATAAGCCACAATCAACCACCAGGTGCATATCTCATCTCTGCCAGTGAAATTACTACCGACTTAGTGACTACTGGAGGCAAAACCAAGTTGTGAAAAAATACTGCAATTCAATGAAACCATAATTAACCCCCGTTTTCTAATATAGGGTGGAAAATGATTTGACTACCAGTAGGAGGAGGCATAGCTCAACAGACAGGGCTGGGAAAACTTATAATTTCAGTGCTGTCTGTGACTCTCTGCATCCCAGAAATAAAAAGGTATGTTTTCTCTGTCTATTTCCTCATTAATTAGATGAAAAAACTAGACTCAGCTTTCCAACACAGATGCTGTAAACAGCTCTGTAAAGTATATAAAAGAGCATAGTGTAGGGAAGAAAAATTATTCAGGAGGGAAATTTATCCCTTAACCTGGAAGGGGAAGAAAAGAAAAGGAAAGAAAACAAATAAAAGAAATAAGGCTTTGTTGGGAAGGAAGGCTGCCTCATCTCCTGATGCAGGAAGAAGGGAGAAGACGTGAGGCCACAGCTCTCTGGGAGCTTGGGGGCCTGCAGGAGGAGCTCTAGTGAGCTGGGCTGGGACCCCTTGCTTATTGCTCTAAGCAGTCCTGTACCTCAGTCAGCATTCCACACTGGGGGGGGGGGTAGGGTACATGCACAAACCACACAAGGTCATGCGAGTAGACGCCGCGCTACCTCCTGGGATCATGAGGGACAGAGCACTGGCGGAAAGGGACTTGGTGACTTTCCCCGCGATTTTCTTTTTTTCTGTGCTTTCTAAGCGCTGCCGAGCCATGTGAGAAGCGGGTTCACTGGGTGGCTTGGAGGGATTATCTGTATTGTCCACACACTCGCTTCGTCCATTTATCTGATCCAAGTGCTCTGAAAAACTGCCAACTGCACAAAGAAGAAGGGATAAACACGTTCAAGAAAAATTTGGGGTAGGAGAGGAGGGGAAAGGGGAAGAGAGAGAGAAGGAAGGACGAACGCTGGGAAACATACTCCCACGTGGCTCTTGATCCGGACGGTGTCAGCAAACATCAAAAACAACTGGTTTGAGAAAGGTGACGTGGAGAGGAAAGATGAAAGGGGTTTCATTCTACTTGAATATGCCTGCTAACATCAATGGCTCCGTTTGAGTAGAATAATTACTTTCTAGAATCTATATTTCACAACCCTCGTCTGCCCCCCTCCACCATGCTATGAAGCAAGCATCACCTTTATGCACACCATGACCTCCTACTGTATACTGTCCTCTGATAGCAATGATCCTCACTAGGAATGCTGGTCATGATGGTTTTTGATATCTGGACGTCATTTAACCATGTCATGTAGACGTAAGCCCGTGTCATCTCCCACCATCTTCCTAGTACACACCTCACACTAGGCTTAAGTATGTAACTTACAAAAAGTACCTAAGTGTCTCCTTTGACTCCTCACCCCTTTCATTCTCTAAGCTCCTTGTAAATTTCATAGGACAAGACAAAGGATATTACTGGCTACGTTACTCAGTGGCTCACTACTCCTTCCTGGCTTTTACTCTAGACCAGTGGTTCTCAACCTTCCTAATGTCGTGACCCTTTAATACAGTTCCTCATGTTGTGGTGACCCCCAATTTCATTGTTACAAATTGAACATAATTAAAGCATAGTGATTAATCACAAAAACAATATGTAATTATATATGTGTTTTCCGATGGTCTTAGGCGACCCCTGTGAAAGGGTCATTCGACCCCCAAAGGGGTCGCGACCCACAGGTTGAGAACCGCTGCTCTAGACAGTGTGCTGCATGCTGATCTGCCCTCAAGTGAATAGACCAGTGGGAAGAGGCTCCCTTCCCCTCTATGCCAGCCATGCCTGCTTTTAAATCTTATTAACCTTTCTTGTTAACTGGAGGAGATATTTTTAGTTAAAAAAATGAGAACTGCCTTCAGCAGAGGATGATCAGAGATTATAACCTCATGGGAGGGTGCAGAGACGGACAATCACTGATGTCGCTCAGGTGACTGCACAGTCCAGAAGTAAAAATGTTCTTGCTCAGAGTGAGGTGCTGAGGCCCCCAGAGGGAAGTTAAGTGGCCACCCTGGTCTCTACTTCTCTTTCTTTCACAGGCTACCAGTGTTTTTTGCTTTTTTGTTGTTGTTTTATTTTTTTTTATTTTTAAAATTACTGATGCTATATCTTGTGTTGTTTTTTTTTCCAGAAAAATAAATGCTTATTTCATTTTTACTTCTAAATGCTAAATTATGAGCCTGTGCTTTAATAAATCATCCAAACTATCATCACCTGAAGATATCTAATCCATACAGAGAATTTAATACCATTATAAATGATCTTTTGAAAGACCAGCCAGCACATTTTAAAGTGCTGACCATAGGACATCCTTTGCCTTGAAAAGTGCTGTGCTTAATTAGACTTAACTAACACTTCTGTCACAATGCTACCTACACACCACTCGAATGCACAGTTGAAGTTTGGCCCTAGGTTACGGGAGGTGGCACAGACTCCAGAAGGGGGTGCAAACTAAGGCAAGCCTGGGATTTTGGAGAGTGGGCTAGGGCACAGCACTGTCCGTGGCTACCTACTATGCGCGGGTACAGGAAAAGATGCATGGACTTCCATGCAACACCCATCTGACCAACAAAGGAAGACAATCTTAAGGCCAATACCAACAGTCTTTCTTTATGCCAAACTCAATCTTGCTTAACAGTATATCAGTTCCATTCATTCTAAATAAAGAAATCCATTGCTGAAGGACTTGATAAAAACTGCTTCACAAATCAAAAATCTCATCTCAACAACCTCAAGCTTACTTCGGGGTAAGGTACACACTCCCTTCCCCTTTCTAATTTGGTTTGGATAAGATCACTGATGAGTATAAACCGAAAAGCTGAATCTCCTGACAATGAATACTCTGTTGGATGCAATGGAGCACTACTTCAGGACTTTTACTTTTTTCTGATTCACATACAATGTAGTCATGAAAAAAGAGAAACCCTTCCCTAAAGGCCAGAGTGTGAACAGAGAGTGTCCCCTTGACCCTCTCTCCTCTCGCCTCGCCATCGCATTTCACAGCACTGCACCGAGCACGTGCCTCCTCTCTGCCAATGGCGGATAATGTCACCTTAATGTTCTAGAAATGTCAAGGGTTCTTTCTTCTTGATGGTGGAGCAATATGAAAATCAACAAATTTAATTTTCCTGCAGTCACGGCTTTCAGATTCCCTAATTACCCTTGGCTATGAGCAAATCAGCTCATCTCTCTATTCTGTGCAGCCCCCAAGGTCTTTGATTATTTTTAGTGAGTGTATGGAGGAGCCAGAGAGAAAGGTGGTTTGAATCTATTAATCAAAATGCATGGCAGGACCTTGGCAGATTTTTTTTTTTAATTATGAAAGTCATCTATCAAATGCTTAGACACCGTTCCCCTCCCTTTACCTCCTACCTTTCTAATAGTGAGTAGGCTGAAGAGACTAAGAGATCATCAGCAATTCACCGTATTAAGAATAAGTTTTAAATGGAGGTAAATATACTCTATTCAGAGTAAGAAAATAAACTTAGAAACAAATACAGACCTTAGTAACTAGAAATATAAAATACTGATTTGATTACCAAGATGAACTAAAAATGGTCAGGGATCCTAGATTACTATGTTGTTTCTACACTACGAATACACTGCTATTCTCTTGGCTTTATAGGATTTGGACAAGTGGGATTATCCTGATGGAAACAGAACTAAGGTGACCAGGGGAAAGAAAAAAACCCCCACATTATTTCCCCCCACGATAAACTATAAGTACATATGAAGTTCCTCTATAGAACTAAACTTTTTTTCTTATTTATTGATGTTATTGGAGTGACATTGGTTAATAAAATAATATAGGTATCAGGTGTACAATTCTGTAATACATCATCTGTACATTGTATTGTGTGTTTTCCACCCCAAGTCAAGTCTCCTTCCTAGAACCAAACTTTTTAATGAGGCTAAAATAAACCCACCCAAACAAACTTGTTTTCTTAAAGCGATTTTTTAAAAATTACACTATGAATATGGCTTAATGAAAACATTTATGACATGACAGCAACCCTAAGCCACATCCATGTGTGTGTGTTTTTTAAAGAATAAATGCACATTGCTCTGGGGAAGGATATGCTATGCATAAAATTTTTATAAACCAAATAATATTTTAAATTCACCTTAAGGGTTTGCTCTGAGGGAAGTGAACGTTTGATTATCTAATGAGAACGCCTCCGTTTGTAAGGGCCAGCAAGTATCTATGCTACAGTAAACATTAAAAACACACAGGAAGACGCCATTCCTGTTGGCAGGGAGCTCACTTCACGCAAAAGCAATGTGACCAAGTGCTTGCATAGACAAGGCCCATGCCCTCGGGCTGCCTCCCGCACAGTCCTAGTTGCCTCAGGAGTTCCTCACTCCAGTTACCAGGCTGGGAAGGCAGCTTCTGTCTGCAGTGGGGTTGTTTCCTATGCACATAAAGCACCAATCTGGTAGGTATTTCTGACTCCCCTGCCCTCTGGGTCCCAGGAGCAGTAAAGCCATCCTGCATCTCCCAGCTGTAGGTGCCCTGCTGCGCTGGCTCAGAGTCTAGTGCAGAGAGCTAAGTATTGGGTTTGGCCCCTTCACAAAACCACTATTGCAACACAAGGGGGAAAACTGGCTTCTGCTCTACTGCCTTACAGGTGATTTACGACATCTTTTAAGGCAATTTTGACCATTTGACTATCTGATATTGTCCCTTATCCTAACTGTGAGTTAGATGCAGCTCCCCAAGACCTGCCTTTGCACCAACACCAGAGGTCATGCTTCCTTGGTATGTCCTAAACGTCACCCCAGGACCCCACTGACCCAGCTGTGGAAGCTGAGGCCGGCTCTCAGGTGAAGCTGAAGCAAGGATGGTTTGCTGCATGGCCATGCACTCAGGAGGGTCTGACACATCTGATCTTAGTTCTTAGAGCTCATCCACCAAGCCCAAGAAGTTGGAGTCTAGTAGCATGAAACACTACCTGGCTAGGCCAGCCCCTGGATGAGGGGGTGATGTTTGGGTGGCAGGCCCCACCCCAGGGCTTACCTGACAGGGTGGAGCTGCTGATGGTGCTGGCTGGGGTGGTGACCTCAGGCTCCTCCTGAGCACACTCGGCAGGAGGAAGGACTGGCTTCTCTGGCTCCTCGCGGAGGTCGCCGGGGCGGGGAGCGGCCTCATCTGGTTCTGCCTCGGCTGAAATAGCCAGTTTGGGAAGCAGGCCAGAACTGAGCTTGTGTCTGTTGCTTTCAGTATCTGAAGAGGTGGATGTGGATAACTGTTGCCTTAATTGAAAAAAACAAACAAACAAAAAAATCAAAGTCATGAATACATACATACCCGGACACTGTTCAAGGTGAATTTGTAAGAAACCAGGTACACATGGAACTTAGATAAGTCTAATGAAGACATGTCTAGTGCAGTGGTTCTCAAAGCGTGGCCTCCAGGCCTGCAGCACCGACATCACCTGGGAACGGGTCACAGATTCACTCTCTCAGGTCCCCCTATCCTTCTCCCTCACCCTCAGGGTCTAGGGGATCAGACACGGAGGATGGGCCCAGCACCCTGTGTTTTCACAGGCCTCCTGGTGACCCTGATGCACACTCAGGTTTAAGAACCACAGCTCTAGTAGCTGCGGCTTATGTTTCTTAACAGGCATTTCACATACATTTCAGAATATTCCGAACTCCAGCTTAACGTTTCCGTGGATGGCAAAGTGGTGCTTTTGGTTTTGTCCCCAGGGTCTTCCTTCTCTTCTCCTGCATTCTGAGTTATTCGATCTATGCTGCTGAAAACCTGGAGGGCAAAGAGTCAGTGCTTATTAATATTGTCTTGAAAGAGTTTGTCAGAAAAAAATACCCAAATCTCGGGAGCAAACCCTGAGAACATGACTAAAGCATGAACTTGGACTGTATCCAGAAGGTACTTTCCATTGCTGTTTACTCGGTCCTGAGATGAATGGTCAACGTGTAACTTTTTTTCCTTTCTTTTGGAGTAGGGAGCTATGAATGCATCAATCTCTCACCATATCTGGAATGAACTTTGTAGCTGCAAACAAAATCCATAGATGCATTGGGGTTTCTAGGCCTGGGGATCGATGCACACCTTAGATTACTTTTTAACCATGAAGTCAATCAGAAAAAGAGAACCAGAGAAAAAGATTTAATGGCGACCAGTTAGGGGTGGGAAAAAGAAAAATGAACTGGAATTGCGTGTGAAGAGAAGGATAAATGACTTGTTTCAGGTATGTGTGAGGTGGAGTGGGGGGGGGGGCGGTTCAGTCCATTGTTGGTTGTGAGTAGGGGGGGGGGGGGGGGGGGGGGGGGGCGGTTCAGTCCATATTTGGTTGTGAGTCAGAGATATTAGTTTGGCTTATAAATTACATGCACAGTCAGGCAGCTTCCTATGTTGGTACTGGGATTTCTGCAGAGGATCAGAGCTGAGAAATCGGAGACCTCTGCTGACCCACAGGGAAGATGGAAGATAACCAAGGAAGCTGAGAGCCCAGCCCAGAAGGCACTGCCTACTGCCCAGCTCAGCCTTTCGCCACTCTCCTGGGAACGGCTCTTACATCATCTACATTTACTGGGGTTAGGAGGAGCGTGGCCAAGAACAGGAGACAGCGGGAAGGAAACAGAGTGGAGGGGCTGGCTTTGATGGGCAGAGGACAGGTGCTGGGGAAAGTCAGCACTCAGTGATGTCAACGCTCGGGTCCTGGCTCGGGGCACACCTGCCACCATACCCTCCAGGGAAATCCCCACCTCTCCACGTCCTTCCTACAAACAGGGAGGGCTGTGTTGGCCCCTTTGCGGGTGCAGTCTTGGTCGTCACTTAGAAAAAGGCGCAGAACACTAAAATCACTACATGCTACAGAAGAGCTAAACAGCATCCGTGCAAAATGCCAACGCCATGGCCAAGGCACAGCTACCACAAACAGCAAAGGGAGGCAGGTGCCTTCTAGGTCCTCGTCCATCTTCCCAGGGCCCCGCTGCCCTGTCTCGGAAATATCAGGTTTCTTGGTTTTGATTGCTTGTTTTAATCTTACCATTATCAGAAAAAAGGCAGCATCTTTCTCAAACATCAATTTTATCATCTTCTATCATTTCCAAAAGTCTAGCTTCACTTTTAACTGCCACTTTAATATAACTTACATTTTCTATGACTGGTTACCAGGCTTTCAATCAACCACCCCCAAGGGTCTTAGCTTATGTCAAGGACTAAGCCTTCTCTTGTGAGTTGTAATCCATACAGAGTGAAGGCTCTGCATACACTAGCCCAACGTTCTTCATTACAACATGCAATAAAGGGGTGGGTGCCTCCACAGCCTGGCACCGAGCCACACCAGGGCACACAAGGCGAAATCAGCACATATACAGCTATACTGTACTCCACTGAAGACTATGAGTAGCAAGTCTGTGTCTCCAAGAAAAAAGATATAAATTTGTGGAGAATGAAACTAGGAAATATACTCCTAAGGGTAGGGACTCTGGATTATCAAGATGGTGGGGTCACTTTTGCTAAATAAAAAGGAATTTTAAGTACAGGAGACCCTGAGCTCCAAAACACTGTGGGTGGTTTTGACAACTGTTTAGGGGTACCACACATCTGGCCAGTGGCAGCGTCCCTCAGAGAGAGCCTGCGTGTTTGTGCCATATTTCACTTACTTTTGAGAACCTATGTGAACACGAGGAAAACTGCCTTATTTCCACGTTGAAGTCTTCATCATTCGTGTCGTCTTCTTCCTCCGTCTCCATGTGGTGATACTTCTCTGACCGAGCTGCAAGAAACGTTTGGGAACAGTTCCAATTACTCAGGATTTCAGGTTTCAATTTCGGTATTTTAATGATTCCTTTCTGTACCAAAGCAACATTATGTCTAAGAACTCATGGGTTCTAGACTTGGAGGGTCCTATGAAAAGTAGAGATAATTTTCTGCAATGTTTTATGTCAGGTAATGCACATACTATCAAAATAACTCGTGTCATCTTCGGATTCCAGTTGGGGAATAAATTCCGCCTTCTGTCTCAGCAAACTGTTCCAGTCTAAGGATCGGAAGAAGCGATGTTGTTTGACCTCATATGCGCCACCTGGGGTGGGGAGACGTGGGGAAGGACAGAAGCGAAAGGGTTAAACTCTCATCCAAGTAAAGGGAAATAAATGTTTTGAAGAACAATACTCACCCCCCAACCCCAAAATCAACACACAGAGAAAAATGTCATGGAAATCTTACTTTCTCATTCCTCAACCAAAACACCTCCAAGTTCCCCCCATACTTTATCAGCAGATTTGATGTTGCTAAAAGCAGCTGCCCTGGCATGGTTCTTCATTGTTAACTTTTTCAGGGCTTTTGCCATTTTTCAAAGGTTAATGATGTGGCCACTTAAAATCACATTAAGCTGAACCTGGGGAAATGGACGCACGTTGGCCCCAAGCACACTTGCTCATTACAAACCCGCAAAAAGTCTAACAAGGCACAAAATGTGTTCACAGCAATATTTCCCCTGGAGGTTGGGTTAATAAAGATAAATTTTTCCCTAAATAGTATATAATGGTTACCATTCAATTTTATTGGATTGCTCATTAACATAGGTAGGAAATAGATTCTGTGGATTACAAATTCTTAACTAAGAAACAGGAAACCCATTTGATAGGTTTATAGTGCATTGAATGAAAATCAATCACAATTCCTAAGTTTTAGGCTTCTTTTTCCCAACTCAGCATGATAGTACAATTCAGTGAAATAATGTTTTTAATTCAGTTCATGATTTCAAAGAGTGATTTTGAAGGGCAGGTCCCACCAAAATATCACACTATGCCCATGTGAAGAGAAGGTGCACGTGCTATAAAGTCAGAGTATGAGAATGAGGCCGCTGCCCTGCCACAAACACACACACACACACTGTTGGTAAGGGACATAAGGTAGAATGGACCCTGAAAAACCACCCAGAAGAGATTCTCCCAACACTGATACCAGGTTCTAGTCAGCCTCCCTGCCAGGAGATGCCCTCTGGGTGTGATGTAAATGCTTTGCTAATGCACTTGTCACCCACGCTTCTCCTCCTGTCCTCAGGGGGCCACAGGAGGAACAGAATGAGAAATGCAAGATGGATGAATAATGGGTGTGGGTCTTGGAGTGGGGGGGGGCTGTCTGCATGGTTCGAATGGGGCTCTGTCCCCAGCAGTCCCCTCTAGTCCACGTGCAGGTCAGACCTCTAAACCCAGCCAGGGAAACTAGTCTTCTGAAAACGATGGAGCAGAGAGAAAAGAGCAGAGGGGAAATCACCCCCAGGAGCAGAAATGGGTTCTTCTTTACAAAGCATTTGATTAGAGTCTTTATCCAGGTCGCATGCAGGCCTTCCCCGTGCTCACAGCACAACGCTGAAGTCGGATGCTGATGACAACAGCTAAGTACTGGCAGCGTCACCAGAGGCCTGACAAGTACTGCACTGGAGACCAGAGGCACTGCGGTTCCTTTAACCCGTCACTGAAAGTAACCCCCCACAGTAAGCACAATCAACTCCATTTCTGGGTAGGGGAACTAAGAGCAAGCAACAAGAAACTGGACCACAATCCCCTGAGAGTAAGGTTTAGAGGGCTGGGCGAGGTCTGACTGAAAACACCCACGTCCACCTTCTGTGCCATAAGCCAGAGGTCATAGAAGGGAGGTGTGTTTTAGTTCAGATCCTGCCCTGCCATCTTTCTTGTCTTCTTTGCAGATGGATTCACAATTGCCAATCCTGGGGAACGGAGCCGAAGAGCCTGTTCCTGAGGCTGCTGTCACGGCACCTTTGCACAGTCCAACTCCAGTCCTCCATGCACCCCGGCTCTCATCCAATCAACGTCCCGAACGCAGCTGCCAGCCACATTTTCTTTTAGTGCTCTCATCTCGGAGAAGTTAAAGGGCTTAAATATTTATTTATCCAACTTCCTCACTGTGTCAAGGACAACTTCCTCATTGTGTGGCCCACAGAGTCAAGCTCTACTTAGTGGTCACCACACATCACGCAGCAACGACCATCATTTCAGCTGCTGCTCATATGGCCACACCAAATGGCAGCTCTGATTTACCCAGAACAGCACAGTTCCCTGAGCCAAGGGCTCAAAGGGCACTTCTGAACCACGTCCAGAGTGTCTGCTGTTCACTCCCCTGCCTGCCACCCTTTGGAGCACAGGCTGGTGAGAGTATATGACAAACGGGTCTTCCCCAACGAGTCAGCCAACTGCTAACCCAGTTCACACTCCTCACCCTCTGGCCTTTGTGCCCCGCTGAGAGAAGAGTGCTTATCCATGGGTCTTGTTTCTCATGAACTTTTGGAGAGATGGGGAACAAAACAATGAAAATGACACACTGGGGGAAAATTATCTCTCGGCTAAACTGTTGGCACAATAAGGGTGACGGCATGATGAGCCAAATGCAATCATCAGACACAGGACTCATGCAAATGACGCTCTCCTAAGAATTCGCCGGGTAGAGAAGTGAAACCAATCACTTCTTGAGCTCCTATTATGTACTAGGTTAGTGGTTCTCAACCTTCTGGCCCTTTAAATATAGTTCCTCATGTTGTGACCTAACCATAAAATTATTTTCGTTGCTACTTCATAACTGTAATGTTGCTACTGTTATGAATTGTAATGTAAATATCTGATATGCAGGATGGTCTTAGGCGACCCCTGTGAAAGGGTCGTTCGACCACCAAAGGGGTCGCGACCCACAGGTTGAGAACCGCTCTACTAGGTTAATGTACTAGATACCTTCGCAAACACGTTTGCATTTAGTCCTCACAAAACCCCGTGAGGTGTATAACATGCCCCTTTTATAGATTAGAAAACTGAGATTTGGGGCAATGAAGAAACCACTCCAGACCTCCAGTACATGGTGGGAGTCCATGGCCCATGGGTAGAAGTTGGTCACATCTGAGCAGCTCTAAAATCCAATGAGCCAGGCTGCCACTCAATACTCTACAAGTTCAAAAGTCCAGTTCAAGTTCAACAAGTTCCCAAATTGCAAGTTATGCCTTGGCACTAATGTTCTCCCTTGAGTGTTTCTCTCCTTTCATGCAAGTTTCTTAAACATCCATTATGGTCTTCACACTCCTTTTCTCAGCCTCTCTAGTCTCTCGGGCAAATGTGCATTTGCACATTTTCACGGTGCATTATTTTGCCCGCTAAATATGCATTAAATCCAAAATGCTGTCACTGGAGGCAGCATGGCAGGCCCGAGGGATTCTCAGCCTCTCCCTTCGAGCCCAACTGGAAGCACTTCTTGACCATGCTGAGAGCTTGGGCAGGGGCTTTCAAATGTCTCCTTTGATCTTGTGCTGGGAGATTTGTTTCCCAAATTGTCAAACTGAATAGGCCGAAAGTAGCAGTCAAGGAGAAAATGTGCAGAGAGAGAACCTGTAGCAGGTGATATACAAACATGGATGTGCTGACCATCACCATAGCCCTGTCTCGCTAAATCAAGGGCAATCAAGAACCCAGGTATGCATAGAGGGAAATGGGCAAACTATTAAGTGGGGAAAACTCCAACCTGACATGAATACCAAAGGGGACTCTTCAGAAAGGGTGGGCTGATTCTAATAATGATTTTGGTCAGACCTAGGACAACGGTTCTCTGGGACACTTGCTTGGGATGTACAGATAGATATGTGCATTGTTGCAGGGCGCTGTTAAAATGCTGTTGCTTCTCCAGCGAGTAAAAATCACTCCTCAGAACCCTGCCCCACACGGAGCCCTGACACCAGTTCTTTGACAACTGCTCTTATCTTTTGAACCATAAAGCACATCTGACTACAGGTCACACAGGGAAATAACAAGTTTGCTAGTCACTTCGGAGAAGAGGAAAACCAGACAGAGATAGAAGAAAGGTAAAGGACTTTGTTCACAGAGTTCAATCAGCTCCAAGGTGGGGAAGGGGCGCCACCATTTCTTTATCCCATGAGTCCTCAGGGGAAAGCATGAGATGACAGACGCAGAAAATGAAGACGACGTGCCAGCAGTGGCAGTGTCCTCGTGGTTCTACTTTTATCCTCGCAATGATCCTGGGAGGTGCTACTACCTGCTTCATTTTATAGGTGAGGACATGAGGCACAGAAAGGGAAACAAATGGCCCATGGTCACACAGCTGAGATATATAATTATTTGATTGAACCGTTTGTTTTTTGTTGTTTGTTTGTTTGTTTGTTTTTTGGAGAGAGAAACATTGATTTGTTGTTCCCCTTGTTTATGCACTTATTGATTGATTCTTGTATGCACCCTGACTGGGAACTGAACCCGAAACCTTGGCATATCGGGATGATGCTCTAACCAACTGACTACCCGACCAGGACCACAGCTGAGATTTAAACTCAATCTGACTCCAGCCTTTGTGCCCTTACCTTCACTGATGCTACCTTTCCTAGTTTAAGGCACACTCATCCACTGAAAAAGGCAAAGGGGCCCGGCTGATGTGGCTCAGTGGGTGAGCGTTGACCCATGAACCAGGAGGTCATGTTCAATTCCCAATCAGGGCTCATGCTAGGGTTGCAGACTCAATCCTCAGTAGGGGGTGTGCAGGAGGCAGCCAATTGATGATTCTATCTTTCTATCCCTCTCCCTTCCTCTCTCTCTAAGAATCAATAAAAACATTTTTTTTTTAAGAAAAAGCAAAGGAGCACATGGGACTCCAGTGAGAGACTCAACTCAAAACGGTTTTCCCAATTGAGCCCTGATTTTAAATTCTGATTCTCTAACTCAGAGTCTGTAAGATTTTTCTGTAAAGAGCCAAACAAGAAATATTTTAGGCTTTATGGGCCATCCAGTCTGTCATGACTACTCAACTTTGCCACGACAGCATGAAGGCAGCCACAAACAATGTGAATGAATGGCATCACTGTGTTTCAATAAATCTTTATTTACAAAATAAAGATTTGGCCCATGGGTTTTAATGAATCATCATAAACTCTGGTGGTGTAGCATTCCTTACTTCATCAAGAACAGAACTCTCCAACTAGAGAAGCTATGGGCAAATGTGGGGAACAATATGAGATAAATATTTGGAGCTGTTGCAAATGGTTTTTGTCCTGAAAAGAAGGAGGGAAAGACTCATTTCTTCCATGTTTTCTGATATTCCTATTAAAATGCAGTAGAATGAAATGGCTCAGTAAACAACCCATCAAGCCAATTTTTACTGTTGGAAATTGTGGCTACTGTCTATGTGTGTGTGTTGTACGTGTTTATATTTAGTATTTAGTTTCATCTATAAAAATCTGCATAGTGAGGTGGGCTGGGACTCTATCTTGGGATCTCTAAGTCTATTTATTCAGAATATCAGAATATAAGGAAGAAAAGGAAAAGAGGAAGCAGAAATAAAAACTGGTAGCACAACTGTTAGGAAAAATAATCAGCAACTAACAAATCTATTACCGCCTTAATCCTGAAAGTCCAGAGTTCTCTATCCTCTTTCTTTGGCCTTGGCACTGATCACCACAATGGCACAGTGTGGTCCAACCCCAGGCACTCCTTCCCAGTAATCAGTTCAAAGCCTGTAGTTAATAACACGCTGGGTCCAATCTTTCTGGGAATACAGATTTTTTTTTTAAAAAACTCCAAACAAAAAAGCTGGACATCTCTAATCCTCTGTTTTGAATTATTTAACACCCATGCTTTTCAGGACCGAAGAGTGACATGGACTTTGAGGTTTTTCTTCCAGAGAAATTTTATTCATTGAAACAAATTAAGAATAATTCTGCTTTGCAACAACAACAAAGACGAACAAACAACACCACCCCATGCTTCTAATGTGTGCACTGCTCTGAGTCAGAAAAAAAAAATCCAAAATACTATTGTTATAATGTGTTGTGGTCATGTTCTACATCAACTAACAGATGTTTCCTATGTAAAAAAAAAAAAAGAGAGAGAGAGAGAGAGAGAGAGAGAGAGAGACAAACACAAACCTCTGAGTGTTCCACACAGACATTACTTCCTACATATTAGCAAAATTAAAGCACACGTGCTCTAACCTGTTCCCAGTCTCTCCAGGGGGTTCTGCCTGAGCAGCAAGGTGATCAGATCTTGGGCATCTGGCGGTGGTGCCTCATCCTTCTCGGGCCAGTTGATCTCATCTAGAAGGAAGGGAAGTCGTTTACAACTTTATTGCTCAAATGGTGGTCCATGCCCCAACACATGGACGTGCCCTGGGAGTTTGTTAGAAAGGCAGGCTTTCAGGCCCCACTCCAGACCCACTGAATCAGAAAGAGCATGTTAACAGGCTCTCCGGTTGATTCCTAGGCTCAGGCAAGTTTTAGAAGCCTGTTTCATAAGACACAAAGAGCACAGCTTACACTGCTCAATAAGCGGTATCTTTCCTTCACCTTGTTGATTCATACTTCTTTGGTGAAAATGGCTCACAACAAATTGCTCTTTCTAGTTATGAAAAGGACGTCATAGAGTGGCAACTCTAAACACCTGCATTTCAGGTAGTCACCCATTCAGGGATCATCTGAGTAAGGCTTTCTCTCCTACTATCCTCAGCCATAGAGTTCTGCAGCTCCAAGAAGCAAAAAGTAATTTCGTAAATGTAACTATTTCCAGAGACAAAGGAAAGGTCCAAATGCTAATGCCAAAGAAGAAAAAAAAAGTTCAAAGTAATCATAGTAATGGAAGTATTTAAAATCTGTCATAAATATTAGACTATGTTCTACATTCTAAAGGCGTTTGCCTAAAGATAGGTATGCATGCTTGTGTGTATGGAAATGCAATAAAAACATGAGTTATTTCTGTGTGTGCCTGCCTCTAGCTTCCTCTGCTGCAGTTTAAATCTGATTTGGAAAATAAAACATGAATATGCATCTGAGCCGTAAGGCATGGAGAACAAAGCCAGCATTTGCTGCTTGTGTTAATTAAACAGTTGATTCCTCTTGCCATTCAGGCCTTGGAATGTCAGAAAACAGCCTAGTTATAAATCCATAAACAGCTCAGATATTGTATAAAAGGGTTATTCACTGCAGGCAACTCACAAATGTACTTTGTTAAAGTTTACAAATACGCCTGACTTGCAAAGTCAATGACAGAAAATAATGCTGTGGTTAAAGGGCTCCAAAATGAATTCCCTCCCATTCCCATGGTTGGATCCCATAAATGCAGTCCAGAATGAACCAGAGGAAGGTGATGGGGATATCAGTAATGACTGACAAACTTTGAGAAAAGAGGCCTTTTTGATCTATGCTTAGGGTAAATTTATAAACACAGTAGGTAGGGTAGTAATAGAGCCTATTTAATTACCATTTAGTTTTGCCAGGAGCCACATAATAGTTAGGGTCAGCTTTGCAGGTTAAGATCTAAAGGTTATTGAATTTTAAATGAAAGATGAACAGCTGTTACAGAAATAACATTCCACCATAATAACTACCAATGAAATCATTAACAATCTGTGGATTAAATTTGCTTCCTTCCCATTCTCATTATTTATTATTTGGTAGACATTTGTTTTAGGATTTATTACATTTTTGTTAATTTCTTTGTTGTGCCTTTAGCCATTTTTCCCATTTATGTAAATGTTACCCACATTAACCTTCTCTTCCCGGGCGCAACTTTGCTATTATGGAAAGGAAGACTGGACAGCAATGAACTCATTTGCAAGTCCCACACCAATTTCTTTTGCGGAAAAAGCACACCATAAAAATCAGTTACATTGCCAGTATATTTCCAAATTCCATGTTAACAAAACTTCCTCAGATCAATTTTCAAGCCAAATTGCTCTCTTGATATTGTGAAAGTCAGTTATGTGCGATGATGAGTGAGTTCTTTTAATCTGTTGGCTAAATTGTTTGACAAAGGTTAACATTTTAGTAGTCAATTCAGTGATACTTCGTAAAATTACATTAAATGGCTGCTTCCCAACAGGGGCTTAAAGATAACGCCTGATGATATTTACCACTGATGACTTGTCCAAATAGCTCTTCTGGAGTGTCCCCAAAGAATGGCACGCATCCAACCAGAAATTCATAGAGGATAATGCCCATGGCCCACCAGTCCACAGGCTTCCCATAGCCCTGCCTCAGAATCACTTCTGGGGCAATGTATTCAGGTGTGCCGCAGACCTAAAAGATGATTGCAATATTAGAATAATTGGAATATTGGACGTAAATTAAAATGAGCAGCAGGGCCCAGCATCAATTATTTTGCCCAGAGTGCACCTGCTCAACCACATGGACAAAGAACGTAAAAACAGCACTGATAAGTTGGCATCCCTAATACCAAAGGCAATAAATCCTGTAAATACTGAAGAAGGGAAGTTTACAATTCTACTCTAATGTCAAACTATCTGTAACGTGCCATTTCAAACCAATCGCTTGACCCTGTTGGTAGCTTTGCCTATTTTACAGTATTAAAAACATCTGTAATCCTTAAATTTAAAATCATGCCTTTTTTATCTGTCACTTTCAGAGATAGTTTTAGCATTTGTATGGCCCAAATATATTCACATCCTGGTTACTTTATAAAAGCATGACAGTTGAGATGTGTTTACCGTAAGTAACTTTACAATGAACAGATTGTGGGCACATGGTAATGAGGCATGCTTAAAGGGAAATGGGCCATGGCTCGGATTTTAGCACCCGTGATTGCACGATGCATCATGAGCTTCACGAGTACTCTACTGAGACTCCTGAATTCCTTACAAAAACAGTTTTCCATTTGTCTCTCTCACACTCTTACTTGTGTGCAATTAGGCCGTTCATCTTGCTAATAGACCATAATGTTGGGGGAGGAATGGACAGTTCAAAGAGGCCCATGGAGAAAAATGGAGGCAATTTGCACTTTATTAAATGTAAGGCCTATACAGACATCTAAACCCTCGGTACTGATGTTGATTCCGAAATTCACTGGCCATGTCGCACTTTGTATTTCTCTGTAGACCTGAACAGCATGCACGCTTACCTGTTTGTCTAGGAACTCGCGAGCATCCTTCTCAATATGACCCTCATAAAGATTGGTAGTCATGCTCATCAGTCCCACCTTGGATAATCCAAAATCTGTCAGCTTGATGTGCCCCATGGAGGTGACCAACAAGCTACGAAGCAGAAGGACATACATTACAACACTCACTTTGCAGCTCATTCTATTTTTTTAACACTCTCCCTTCTCTTGTCAACTGTAAGACTCTTTAGTATATAGGTGTCAACCTTATGAGAAACCCAGCCCGGGAAGAGATAAAGTCACAGGAAGATGTCAAATACGTGCATCTGGCAGCTGAGGGTAATTCACAAGGGAAGGCCAGAGACCAGGCCCAGCTGATCTTTGCTGGAGCAGCCACATACACTATCATCTACAACCTGAAACTCTCAGAAAATTCCAGTGTGGAACTCTGACATCTATTTTCGGAATAAGAAAACAGAAGAGAAAGGGCTACAATAATATACCATGTCACACATCAGGAACTAAGATAAGCAACCCATCTGTGACTCAAATGAGACACAAGATAAGGAACGTGGACTGGAAAATGTAGCATTGTTTCAGATTTCAACTTCTGGGTTGAATTTAAATTTCTACTCATTAGCACAAAACCTACATTTCTTATACATGCAACACATTCACATTTGACAGCTTTATGAGTTTATGTTTAAAAATTTTTTCATTTTAGAAGAAAAATGTTAATTAATTAACAATTACAGGAACAGAGGAATTGGGGTAAAAAAGCTACTAAAAGGAAATATGCTAAAATTCTAATAGTTGTCTTTGCTCAGTAATGTTGTGCATTACTAAAATTATATAAAGAAAAATGTTTTTTTCCACTTTCCAAATTTTCTGGAATGAACATGAGTTAAATGTATCATTCGATTTTCTGCGTACATAAAAGCTATACATACTAACATGTAATGTATTTAGAGGCTTTTCAGATGTGAAGAAAGCATGAGACATTTAAGAACTGGCATCAAGATGAATAACTAGTCATTTGGAGAAAAATAGTCTATCTGTGTCTCAAATCAGATATCATAATGAACTCTATATAGATTACAAATTTTTACATTAAATTATGAGTAAAACAGAATAGAATATCAAGCATATCACCTTTCAGTAGAAAAAGTTTATGTAAGTATGACAGAAACTATCCAGAAAACTAGTAGCAGTGTATGTAACTATTCACTAGTTTATAGAATAAAGCCTTTTAAAAAAACAACTAACCCTGGCTTTAAAGTCATCTTTTTCTTTTGTTTCCTATAAGCTATTATTATAAGCATCACAGCTTTAAAGGATTACCATATATACTTTAAAATAACTCATTTGGGCACATTATGGGAAGATTTTAAAATGTGTAAAACAGCATTAAAAAGATAGTTTTATAGACCTAAGAAAACTTTTATATCATGTAAAAAAAAAAGATATATTTCATCAATGTACATACTTGTCTGGCTTCAAATCCCGGTGGACAATTCCATAATTGTGCAGATATTCCAAGGCCAGGACCGTCTCAGCAAAGTACATCCGGGCCATATCGACAGGGAGAGGACCCATGTTCTTCATTAAGGTAGCACAGTCACCCCCTAGGAAACACAAGGAAAAGACTGAGCAGGTATAGCACTGGCTAGGATTAAAGAAGACCAGCAGTTTAGTCTTCAGATTTTCAAAGCAGAATGGCCTTTACCCACAGGCAGAGCATATCATATTCGTACGTGGAGACTGTGTGTTAAGTAATCATGCTTCTCATTACGATGTGGTGTGGAGAAAATATAGATTTTTATTCAAGAAGCAGTACTCCGAAGAGAGCAGGGTTGGCTCTGATGTGGAATTGAAAATTGAAAAACTGCTAGCATAACTTTAGGAACATGGTGACAATTTAAAATATGCCCGTGAAAACCACAGATTTTGGAATCTGGCTGCCTGAGTTCAATCCTAGCCTCTGAGTGTTACAGGTGGGCAGATCTTAGGGAAACCCATCTTAGTTCTTTCATCAGTAATAGGATAGTAACAGTGTCATTCCTCCTAGGATTATTGTGGAGATTAAGTGAGGCAATCTATGTAAAGATTTGAGGATATTGCCAACACACATTGAACACAGGATAAATGTTAGTTGTTAAAATAACCACAACAAAGGTTAATAAAGGAAAGTACTGGTATGGTGAAAACACTGATGGGTAGTAATCAGACAAGCTATATTTTTGTCTTATATCTACACTGAGTATCTAGTAAGTCTCTCTGCTGCTTGGGTTTCAGTTCATTCATCTGCAAAAGGAAATGGTTGGACTAAAATATATTTAAGGTTTCTTCCAGTTTCATAGTTTTGGGATTCTGTTCAAACTATTATAAGAGCTTAAATTAGATGCTTTAAAAATCGTTTTGGCCCTTGTCGATCAATTCATTTTATTAACTGTTTATGTCAACAAGTTACTGAGAAAGGAAAGTCACAGTGACAGCACTGGCTGGTGTGGCTCAGTTCGTTGAGCATCCTCCCATGTACCAAAGGGTTGCTGGTTCAATTCCCAGTTAGGGTGCATACCCAGGTTGCGGTTCAATCCCAGGTGGGGTGTGTATGAGGCAACTGATCCAAGTTTCTCTCTCACACCAATGTTTCCCTCATGTCAATTGTTTCTCTCTCTCCTCACTTTATCTCTCTCTCTCTCAAATCAATAAAAAACATATATATATTTTTAAAAGGTCACAGTGACAGAAGTGATCCAAGGCTGGGCTTCTGTCAGCTCACTGGGAAGTCAGAGAAAAGGGGGCTTGGAGACAGGATCCAGGGGGTTATCTGGGATGAGCTGCCGCTGCCCATTGCTCCCTGCTTGCAAGTCTCTGGGGGTCCCTTAGAGTTTAGGAGATGCAGGCCTGTGGGGGCAGGCCTGTAGGGAAAGGTGTGGGCGTGCTCCCTGGAGGGAGAGTACAGAAAGGATGTACTTTTAATTAATTCTTTAAGAGATCAATTGTAATAAATGCTGTTATGATATGTGATAAAAATAAGTAGAAACAATCCCATCACCTGTATTCTAAATTTAATGACCAATTGAGAGGAGATAATAAGAATTAAAAGCTATTAAAAAAGAACAACAACCTTTTCCCAAATACTAGTAGCACTAATTTCTCCTTTGTTATAGTAAAGCAGGCTCCTTAAAAGCAATTATCACAAGATATTGGCTGGGACGCATCCATCTCCTTGCCTGGCTCCGGTTCCTGGATGAACACAGCTATAATGTCACCCAAATACAGAGCTTCAGCCACACCAATGAGCGAGGCGTCTCTGGGCCCAGGGGTCACGTTCTCCGTGTCAGGCTGCCTTACCTTCCACATATTCCATGACCATGCACAAGTGGCGCCTCGTTTCAAAGGAGCAGTACATGCTGACCACAAAGGGGTTCTCCGCAAACGTCAGGATGTCCCGCTCCACGAAGGCCTGCTGGACCTGGTTCCGGAGAAGGAGGTTCTGTTTATTGATCTTCTTCATGGCGAAGCGCTGCCGGGACTCCTTATGCCGGACAAAGTAGACTGCCCTGAAAAGGAGCATGAGAGTTGGGGTTCACAGGAAGACGGGGTGCTTCTGAGTACAGTAACCATGTGATCAGGTACTCTGTTTCAGTTCACACACCAGGCGGAGTTCAACTCACACAAGCTACGCTGGCTGCTACCAACATCCGCCCCAGGCCAAGAGCCTTTGGCTAGATTGATTTTTTTTTAAAAAATTCCTTCAATAAAGATCAGAGGTCATACATAAGACATCAAATCCATCTTCACTGCTGAAGGAAGGAAATGTCTCCAGAGTGGGCTATTTTCCAATAGCTACCTGATGTTTTCAGTTACACAAACAAAACAAAATCCAATATAGAAGTCAGAACAGGAGAGAATTAACAAAAGTGCATACAGATCTTGAGAGCAAGATCCTTCCTAACATTAGAAACCTGTTAGGCATGTTTCCTCCACTGACTACAGCAAATATTTTCTATGTGATACCCTTGGAATCTGCAAAAGGACCATCGCTTTTTAGAGTAATTGCCTTCCAACTTGAGAGACATTTACTTCCCATGAAATTTCCAGATAAATGAGGAGTGTATCATAGGTCAGCAAATAATAGTATATTTCCTCACTGCAAACCTTGGCATGAGGAACACCTGTACCTGGTTCAACAGAAAATGCATTTTCCAACACAAAAGGAGGCCAATAATACACTGACTGCTACCCCATCCAACCTCTGGTCAAGGTGTCAGGCAACTTTATGGTAAAATTTGTAGGCTGCGTTGAATCTGTGCCAAAAACCTCACTTAAATACTCCACAGGAGGGACTGAATGACCTTCCACATATTCCACGACCTTGCACTGGACTCCCTGAGGCTTTGAATGTTGTAGAGAAAAGGAATAATTAGGAGGAGTCTTAAAACCCCACCTGGAAATGATGAGCAACGAGGAAAATGCCTTGGATTAACTTCTTTTCTCATTAGCTTCTCCTCACTTGTCATTATTGTGGGAGAACAGATTTGAACTCCCAGGTTAGGTAATGCTCAGATAAGTAATAATTTACCCAAAGAGCCACCAGTCATTAAAATTGTGTAATAGGTTATATGAGGCTACCCTGCAACAAATGCAATGATCAAATAAGTAGTAATTTACCTAAAAGCAATCAATCACAGTAAGATATACCCAATGGTCCGCCTCCTAAAACAAGGGGTCATCTGTTCTGAGATGCATTTTCCACTAGTTATTTTCGCTGTCCGTGAAATGAATATAGGGGGACTAAGACACCCTATATTCCTGCTTAGCCCATACAACAGGATGGTCCACTGACATAAATCTTAAGTATATTCCACTTAGGTTTAATCAAAGCTCCCATTTTCCCCTTAATTGTTCAACCAGGAATTCGTTTTTCTTTTAAGTATGTGTATCTCTATTTTTGTCTTCTCTTTGTATCCAGCTTTTCCTTTCATTCACAAAATCACATTTTTGGGTCTCTGTTTAAACATTACTTTTTTTTCTTTACTCCTTTTTTTTCTTTCTCATCATTTCTTTGGTATTCTACTTCTTCCTTTACTTTCTTTAAAGCACTCTTAACCACACTCTACATAACTATGTTAAGGCATAACCTGGTGCTGTTATTCCCACAGCATAACACCCTGACACGGAAGCTGATCCACTGGGTGCTCATGCTTTCTGCGTGGGCTAGGACCACGTCAGGATGCCTCCAAACCCAGGCTCCCACCAGCTGAGCTGACTTCCACACCTGTTTTTCTGTCTAGGCTTGATATCATGATTAACTAATGTAAAAAAATATTTAGAAAGATGAAACATGAGGGTGAGAAGGAAAAGCATCGCTGTTTATAAGAAAATTAGAGGCCGGTGCACGAAATTCGTGCACGTGGTGGGGGCGTCCCTCACCCCGGCCTGTGCCCTCTCATAGTCTGGGACCCCTTGGGGGATGTCCGCCTGCTGGTTTGTGGCTGGATGACCTTCTACTGCTGCATGACCTGCTGCTTGAGCTTCAGCAGCTGCTACACGTGCATGGGCTGGGCCACCATGGTCTGTCCTGCAAACACCATTGAGTGGGTAAGTCAAGTGTGGAGGCAGGCTCACCCTGAGTTCCCTACACTTCCCTGAGTCACTGAGTTGTTCAGACTGACTGCCTTCTACAGAGAACGGCACCGGGATCGGGCCTAAGCCGGCAGTCGGACATCCCTCTTGCAGTCCGGCAGGTGGCCAGGGAGGAGCCCGAGTCAAGGCCGGGTGCCATGCTGCTCATGCTCATCCTGACCTGCTGTGCCTGCTGCCACCACTCGGTAGTGCCCTTGCCAGCTGTGAGCCCGGCTTCTGGCTGAGTGGCACTCGCACTGACCACCAAGGGGCGGCTCCTGTGTTGAGCGTCTGCCCCCTGGTGGTCAGTGCGCATCATAGCAACCGGTTGTTCTAGTCGTTCTGCCGTAATGGTTGTTTAGGCTTTTATTATATAGACTAAATAGAATGTTTTGGAAAGTGAGTTACTAAATATAATTCCTATCGCTTTAGTATGGGTGAAAAGATTTCCAAAAGTTAAGAAAATAATAAAAATCTATATTCTTACATTCAGATTGCTCAAGTTATTCATCTTTAAAGAGGTTTAAGTTGGAAAACAGAGACAACATATAAGTGTGTTTATAGTGGCTGTCGTAAAAAGGCCTTACATCAAAAGACTAGTAAATTCGCATACATTTAGGTTAAATTAAAATGTTTAAAGTACATATCATTTATTAATGATTTCCTACTTTGACCAACTTTTTAGTTAACCAACCCACCACTCATTCTTTCTAAATCAGATTAAAGGCTTTTCTTTTTTCAACTACTGATTGAATAAAATCAAAATCCAAAGAAAACCTGAGCTTCTCCTACACAGACGCTGGGAGCAGGACAGGCAGATGCATGGGAGCCTAGGAAATAACTTGGCCTTCCCCTCGATGTAAGACAAGCACCGGTAAACAAACATTGCCATGAAGAGGAGTTTTTGAAATAGTTACTGAAATTTGGAATTCAAAATGTTAAAAGAAAGATAGTATCCTTATATTATCACTTGCCTATCCAGAGAGTGACTGGAATAGCGCTTACTTTCCACCTCTCCTTCCAATATTTAATACTGAGCAGGCTTGGTGCTGAGGACCCAGACATATGACATCGCTAACTCCACTGCTGGCCGCTCAGAAGGTTGCCATTCTGATTTTCTGTCAAGCATCACCATTTCTTACATGAATAACTGTTCAGCAGTATGTCTGAGAGTAACAGGGAGCAGGGGAAGAAGAATGGAGCTGTACACAATTTTATGAAAGAACAGAAGAGAATGCTGCCTCAGGCCCTACTTGACCGCCATCCAGCCTAGGTTTTTGGTGGCACTGTGTGAAAAACTGCTGCAACCTTTCTTCTCAGATTTTGAGTTCATAACGTTTGATTTGACTTTCTGCTTTCCCTTGCTATGATGTGCTTAAAATGATCAGCTAATCCTTAGGAAACTGACATAAACCAAGCGAAATTAATCCTTTAGGTAGCTTGAGCTATCTCTGCCTCAGGACACACATATGTTGATCAAGTTGCAAAAGTCAACTAGACTTCTTAATTAGAATTTCTTTTGTCTTACGTTCTTCATTTTTACATGTTTGTACCGCTTTAGGAATATTTAGGAATATTATTTCTTAGTGCTGACATTTGTTTATTTAGTAATAATTGCTGTCTTCCACATACACCTTTCTCATTAATCAAGGTTCCAAGTCTACTTACAAAAAAAATCATGATTTGATGAGAGATGGAGAGAGACACAGAGAGTAAGAGAGAGAGAGAGAGAGAGAGAGAGAGAGAGAGAGAGATTGAAAAAGAGAAACAAAGAGAGGCAGATAGCAGCCAATAGAGAGAGAGAGAGAGAGAGAGAGAGAGAGACTGAAAAAGAGAAACAAAGAGAGGTAGATAGCAGCCAATAGGCAGACATCTAACACTGCTAAGCAGAGCTGTAAACCTCCCTAGATGATAAAACTGAAGTGAAGTGATTCAGCCCCACACCTCTTTGCTTTCTGGCCCCCAGGGTGGTTTTCCCTGAAAAGGCCGCTTCTCTCTCTCTTTTCCTACCCTGACCTCCCTGTGAAATAGAAAAATTCAAGGGTGGGAGGTGATGCAGGGAGCAGGGGCACCTGGGGCCTGGGTTCTCTCTGCGCCAAGCTCCGTGCCACCGTGTAGAACTGAGAGGTGTGTGTGGGGTGGGTGGGGGGTGGAATCAGACGCTGACAGGATCTGGAGCAGAATGAATCCGTCCTATCGGGAGTGTGAATGTCTGATGCGTATAAAATTATGCCTGAATCCGAGAGCCCAGCACATGAGTCTGTGCACACAAAGCTGCACGTGGGAATGGGAGTGCATGTGTTGGAGGAAAGCTGAGAGGAAAGGCTGGGGGAGAGAGTGTGTGGCAACAGGGCACCCGTCACAGGGCACATCTCCTGGCCTTTGAGGTTAAAAGAGAACAACTGCGTCAAGGCTAGAAGGAAAGCAAAGTGGGGGAGAAACGTTGTGCCTTTCAAGTTTAGTGTTTTTTACTCTTTAGAATTTTTAGTCAATTTTATGCTTTCACTTTAAAAACATTCAAAGTTGTAATTTAAAAATCCAAGTGCAAGTGCTCAACTGAAGACCTCGACACCCCAATTAAGATGACCAGAGGTTATAGCACAAGCACACCTCCTGTCAGGAGAGAGCTCTGCGTGGGGTCAGTGCCCGTGACCTTGCCCGAGCCCCTCCCGCCCCAACCAAGAGGAAGTAACACCAACTGCCCACAGGCTCCTGTGGGAGACAACATAGATCAGGTAACGGGATGATGAGGCACACACTGAGTGTTAGCTTTCTACAAAGTGCCACACTGGCATGAAGGGATGTTTAATTTCCAGTCAGGCATCCGAAACGTTAAATAGAGAAGGAAATCAGATGCTTATCAAATTAGCAAGTTGGCTTTGTGATATGAATTGTCACTAAGCAGGATGCTGAGAAAACCACGACGTGTTTTAGCATGACATGTAGAAAGAAGCTCGCCCTAATGAGAGGATTAGTTCTCAGCACAACCAGTTCTCAAAATCAGTGTCACCGAGTCACTGACGTGAACGCGACACTGTCACAGAGATGCCTACGAAAGCCTCCCACAGAGGGTCCACTTGTTCAGCAGCCAGGGAAGCCTGCAATCAGCACTCTGACTGGGTGGACCAATGGGCATAGCTCCATTCAAATTCAAATGAGAAATAATTATTACTTAAAGGAAATCTGTCAAAAATGTAATGAGAGATTAAATCTGAGAAGAGCCAAAGAGGAAAGAAAGTTTCAGCTGATTGGCAGAGGCTCCTGCAGGCAGCTTGTGAGCCCATTAACGACTTGGCCTGCATCCTGGGTGTTTACTGATTCCTAGCTTGTTTAACTTCTTGTATATTCCCAGCCATTCCCCAAAGTGTGATATACCTCATCTACTATACAGTGCTTTAACTGCACCACAAATGAGTTTACTCAACCAATTAGAACTCCAAATACTGCTAAGATCTATGCCCGCGTTTTATAAAAACGGTGCTTCACAGATCATCTTATTCCAGAATTCCACTGCCAATTAAACCTAGCAGTGCTCAAACCATCGGCCCATTAAATCAAAGTCCAACCTTCTCTCCAATGAAGTAAGAAATCCTCATAGGGTCTCCAAAACTATAAAGAACTAAATACAAATAATAAACAAAACCCACAAATAACTGCATGCTAAAATAATCTTCCTAAGTAGAAAAGTTTCAATGAGATTCTTGAAGGACATAAACTATCCCCCAAACAAACAAACCTCACAAGAGAGCATTTATAAGCCACATCAGGAAATATGTCACTTGACATATCCTGAAAGCAAATCAGTGAAGCATAGGAAAGACCACAAATATTTAAGTTCTTCTCTAAGTTAATGGTGTGGAAAATATTAGAGGTAAAAAAAAAATTGTAAGGAGAAACATCCCTTGTGGCACAATAAAAATCACTTTTATCTCATCTGCTCACTTGTGTGATAAATGGCAATAAATGTCTAGGAGATTGTTTATTGCTTTCCATATACAGATGGAACTGGGATTAATACTTAATTAAACTAGAGTTCTTGGGCCATCTAAAATGGATCAGGACATAGTTTGTGTATTAATTACCCTTTTAAACTATTTATTAGAAACTCAGAAGGATCCTGTCACTATTGGCCCTTTGCCATGAGAGTAAAGTCTCATGTCTATAAAAATGGATTAAGGAAGAGGGACCACTAATGTCATCAGATTACATAACACAGTGTTGAACTGAAAAACAATCCTGGTGTAATATAAAGACTCAAAGAAATGTACTGCTCTTAATTTTCAACCAACCCTTTTATCTAAATACTTCTCTACTAGGTTGAGTGCTGGTCAGAGAGGAAGTACTGGCTAATTCTCAAGCAGGAATGCTATATGTGAATTTATACATATTCAAACATATTTATTCTTGTTCAGATGCTAATATATATGTTCAGATACATATCCTCCTATATAATAAAAGGGTAATATGCAAATTGTCCTCTCGACTGGGAGTTCAACCAGAGTTTGACCAGGGGGCGGGGCCGGCCTGCCAACCGCCTGCAGCCCCTCCCCCTGGCCGGCCCAGCCCAATCAGCCCAGACTGGGGCTGGTTGGCCGGACCCTACCCGTGCACAAATTTGTGCACCGGGCCTCTAGTATACTATATCTGGGTATGTATGTGTGTGAGTATCTAAACATATATTCATACATATATCTATATCAACTAAGAGACAGTTACTTCTGAACCCAAAAGGGCAGAGTAAAGGAGGCAGAAACAGGCATATATACAAAATTTCTTTTACTTTATAAATCTTTACTTTTGAATTCATCCTCTCTGATCCTCTAAAATAACTCTCAGGCCACCTGATATGTTTTCTGATGGAGTATCCAGTGAAAAATGATTTTGGCTACATGTTATACCCATCAATGAATGAGCAGAGATGTAAAAACTAAAGTCCCTATACAACAGCTATTTGACATAAGATAAAGGTGAAGAATACAGTACTTTAGTGTGTTAAAATACAACAGAGTTTTCTTTAATTACTTACCCATAGGCTCCATTGCTAATCAACTTAATTGTTTCAAAATCACTTTCCCGAGGTTTCCTTCGAAGTTTCAGGGAAGCATTTGAGCTCTTGGAAACAAAATATGGAAGTTAAAAAATAGTTGAGAATTCAAGCACCATAGCCAAATCAATAATATTTTAATTACATGCTCTGTTGTTTAATATGTTGAAGAGCCATATTCTAGCACAGGAACCTGAAGGACAGCTTCCAAGATCAATTTTCTAGAGCAGTGTCTAAGTTTCACTTAAGTGCACCCACATTTCCAGGAGCTGAAGGCACCAAGTGTTTGAAAATTCCCAATTTTAATTCACCTCTATTAACTATTCAGGTTAGCCTCGTCCTAGTCTTTTAAAGTTTGAGATTTAAGTTCCTTCTGGCTTCAGTTGGCCAGGAAAGAGCAGGTTAGAGTGGCTGTCCTTGGGCCTTGGATGCTGTGTCTTCTCTGTCCCAGACCAGAGCACGGCTATTTCATTCCTGTGGCAGCCTTTCTTGCTTGGAAAAGGTAGTCGGCAACCAATGGGACACCCAAACATAGAATGTCTGCCTTTCTCTAATCCCATACCATAAATCTTACTATAGTTTAATCTCAGTGTTCAAAAAGAGAGCTCTTTAAAAGTTTAGTTCAAAGGATAAGAACAAAAAAAGTGCTGTTAAAAAATTGTTTTCTCATACTCCATGTATCCTTAGCATTGAGAGGGTGTTACCAGCCTCGTTGCTGCTACTGCAGAGCCCAGAATTCCTTTCCTATAATCTGAGAAGAAACGCCATCCTCCCCCATTCAGAGCTGTCATCGCTGACCCTGTCATCCACTCATTTTTGCAAGACTTGGATACTCAGCTTCCAAACTATCTTTCTGCCCACATTCTCACCATCTGGGTGCCTTCAGTGTCTACACAGATAACTCACATAGCATCCTGGCCTCTGGGCTACTTGACCTCCTCAACTCAAACAACCAACTCTCTCCTCTATCTTCCCTTGGCCTCTGGCCACAGGACCTGGATCTAGCCATCACCTGCCAAAGCCCCATTTCAGAAAATATAATTCAAGACTAGGGCCAACTTGTCTCATTAACTCTTCCCTACCTGAGAGTGACCTCATTTATGCCAATGGATGACTCCTAAGTCATTCGAACCTCTACCTAAAACCCCTCCTCCAAGTGCCAAAAGATACTACACCCTGTACATAGCTGCTAGTTTGATGGCTCTTCTTGGATGTCTCAGAGGGACTTCAGTCTCAACACATTCAAAATTATGACAGTTATAATAAAATAAACAGAAAAAGCTACCATTCATTTAACATTGCCTTAGTGCTGCTGTCCTAACCATTTTACACAAACTATCTCCTTTAAACTTTTCTATCTATTCTGCAGATAAACAAAAACAAAAAAAACAAACCTGATGCACAGAGAGAACCCATAGTTAGTAAGAGGTGGAGCCAGGTTTCAAATCGAGCAGTTTGACTCCAGAGCCTTGATTCTTAGGTTACATGGCTGCCCCTCTTTCCTGATCACCCCAGCCTGCTCCACCTGATTCCTCTTCTGGTGCTCAAAATTAGGGAGAACCACAGAGCACCCGGGACCTCTCATCTGGGCCCTGCATCAGCCTCTTCACTGGCTTCCCATGGTCACCCCTGCCTGCTCCTTGTAACCCGTGTGATTTCTTTCAAGCTGGAACTCAGATTGGGTCATCTCCCTGTGACCCCCTCCACCCCACATACCCATATATTTCCTCCAAAACTCAATTACTTCCCATTGTTTTGAAAGAAAAAAAATGACAAAAGATGAACAAGGACTTCCGAGTCCCTTCTTAACCTACCTCTCCAGTCTCTGTAGTGTCCCTTGCACTTAGTCCTCAGATGCACTCTGCTCCCTTGCATCACAGTCTTTGCCTGTGATGTTCCCTCAGCCTGCCATGTTCCCTCTGCCCTTTCTTATCCTAGTAACACCTCACACCTCAAGCGCAAGCGTCTTTTGGGACTCTCAAGACTAAGGTAAATCTCTTCATGTTATGTTCTAGTAGCACATGGCCCTTTTTCTTCATAGATCTCATTCAAGTTTATCATTTTAACTGTTTTTGCATAATTTATTTGTATTTTATTATCTCCCGGTAATGAATGCATCACTTCACTGGAAGCAAAGATCCTTTCTCTTTGAAGGGAGGGGCTAAAATGTTATGCCTAGTGCCTTACACATGGAATGCACAATAAATATTTGTTGAACAAATAAAGTAATTAACACAGCCCAAATCTCCAGATGCCATAAACAGAAAAACTAACATCATATTTCATCAAGAAAGATACTTACACTCACTGATTCATCTGTTTCTGGTGTTTCTGCTGTCCCGCTATTATAGTTTCCCAACTGAGCCATTTCTAAGGTAAAACAAACAAACAGCAAAGTTTAAGAAAAATAGGATAATTGCATTTAGACAAGAATACATGCTGAAACAACAGAAAAATAATTTTTCCAATATGAAAAAAAGAAAAATTTACTCTATGTTCTAATGAACCCATAGAAAAATCTTCAAAATGGCAAGAGCCAACAACTGACATTTGGAAATTATTCATTACAAGTCTTTCCCTGGAACCTCATTTCTTTCTTTCTTTTTTTTATCATCTGTATACTGTATTGTGTGTTCATCCCAAGTCAACTCTCCTTCAATCACCATACTGTTGTCTGTGTCATTAAGTTTTGTTTGCTTTATTTTTTCTTAATCCCTTCACCTTTTTCAAAAGGCCTCCCAACCCCCTCCTCTGACAACTGCCAGTCTGTTCTCTGTATCTGTGTCTGTTTCTGTTTTGTTAGTTTATTTTGTTCATTAGATTCCACATATGAGTGAAATCATAGGTACTTGTCTTTCTCTGACTGCCTTATTTCACTTGGCGTAATACTCTCCAGGTCCACCCGTGCTATCACAAAGTGTAAGATTTCCTTCTTTTTTCCTTTTATTTTCTGGCCAGCAGTATTCCATTGTGTAAATGTACCACAGCTCTTTTATACACTCATCTACTGATGGGCACCTGGGGTGCTACTAAAAACAATGCTGCTATGAACATAGGGCTTCATATAGTTTTTCAAATCAGTGTTTCGGGTTTCTTCAGATATATTCCTAGAAGTAGGATCACTGGGTCATAAAGCAGCTCCATTTTTAATTTTTTGAATAAATTCCATACTGCTTTCCACAGTGGCTGCACCAGCCTGCATTCCCACCAGCAGTGTACTAGGGTTCCCTTTTCTCCACACCCTTGCCAACACATGTTATTTGATGATTTATTGATGACAGCCATTCTGACAGGTGTGAGGAGATATCTCATTGTCGTTTTGATTTGCATTTTTTTTCATATGTCTATTGGCCATCTGTATGTCCTCTTTGGAAAAGTGTCTTTTCAGGTCTTTCACCCATTTTTTAATTGGATTGTTTGGTGTGTTGTGTGTGTGTGTGTGTGTGTGTGTGTGTGTGTGTGTGTTGAGTTTTATAAGTTCTTTATAAGTTTGGGATGTTAATCTTTATCAGATGTATCATTGGCAAATATATTCTCTCATTCAGTGGGTTCTCTTTTCATTTTTTTGATGGTTTCCTTTGCTTGGCAAAAACTTTTTAGTTTGATGTAGTCCCATGGAGCCTCATTTCTTATGAACACCTAGACACAGGTACTTTAGATCTGGGCCTCTGCTTTAGCTAGCAGGATTCACAGCCTAACACAGTGGTTCTCAACCTTCCTAATGCCGCGACCCTTTAATACAGTTCCTCATGTTGTGGTGACCCCCAATTTCATTGTTACAAATTGAACATAATTAAAGCATAGTGATTAATCACAAAAACAATATGTAATTATATACGTGTTTTCCGATGGTCTTAGGCGACCCCTGTGAAAGGGTCGTTCGACCCCCAAAGAGGTCGCGACCCACAGGTTGAGAGCCGCTGGCCTAACACAACCACCACAGCTTAGAACCGGTTTGGGGGTCAACGACTGTGCTTATTTATCATCAGACATCCAAGAGAGGCAAATCTTCCCAGGCTCTGACAGGCATCAAAGAAGCCCTGACTACAGCTCAGAGGCGATTCTCAAGTTATAGTTAGCATCCCTTCTTCTATTTCTTCATGTCCACTAAAAGATAGCTCACCTAGTACACTAAGAATTTGCAGTTTGTCAGAAAGAAAAGTAATACTTAGTGGTTAAGAGGAACTTGGGATGCAAAGATGTGGATTACCACCACTATCAATACTTACTAGTGACCTTCTAACCTCGGGGTCTTTCTCTGTAAGATAGCAACAATATTATATATGGACCCCTACATTCATGGCAGCATTGTTTTTAATAGCACCCCAAATGTCCATCAGTAGATGAGCTCTTTATGAGTATTACTTTTATAATAATGCATGTGAAGCTCTTAGAATGTTGAGTAATAAAAATTAAGTGCTCACTGACTGTTGATGGTTATTTAATATTATTGAGTATATTGTGTACTTAATCCTGGGCTGGATGCCACATGCTTGACACCAGCTTATTACCATGGTGGTCTAGTTAAAAGAGACAAAGGTGTTACCATGGTGGTCTAGTTAAAAGAGACAAAGTTGTCTAATTATTCAACCTACACTGGGATGCAACCTTGAAGACTCAAATCTAATTCAGTTTACTGTTCATTTAGATTTTTATACTTAAAAAAACATGTTTTATTAAAAAAAAGGACATGAAAGAATTTTCTCCCTAACTTTGGTAGGGGTTATCACTGAGTGGTAGGATCACATGTAATTTGCATTTTCTAATATTTTCAAACTTGAACATGTATAATAAAAAGTTACAGTTTTTAGTTAGATATTTTTGTATGCATCTAAAATTATTTCTTAGGCTCTGATTTCATATATTTATGTTCTTATAAATATAATTACCCTTTTGGGGGGAGAGATTACACATAAAGATATGAAGCAAAACAACAGTGAAATGTTGCCTCTGGATAAAAATAAACTCCAGATTTGACAATAACTGGAGACTGACACTCACTTTCTCAGTTTCCCTGTAGGGAAAGTTTAAGAATAAAAATGAGCTCAGTACAAAGTGTATGCTTTCTTGGTGTCATTCAAATGCTGTCAACATCCTATGTGACTAGTATTTCAGATTTATGAACAAGGAGGTGAGCTAAAATGTATTCAGTTGCAGGGGCTTTCCAGGAAAGAGGCGATTGTAATATGGTTTAAATAAAATATTAACAGCAGCTCACATTTATTAAGCATTACTACATCTTGGGTCCAGAGATAAACTCACATAACCCTGAAAACAATTATTTGAATAGGCACCACTATGACCCCATTTTTACGGAAAGAACACCAAGGCACAAACAGGCTCTTTAGCATGGTCAAGGTCACACAGCCTGCAATGCTGGCTGCCAGGGCCCAGTTCTGGGCAGCCCACTCAGACCCTCACTCCTCACCGTCTAAGGTCAGGCTTCAGATATATTAGTGTAGACAGAGACAAGAAGGGGAAGAAAATGTGGATCACTTTGTAATAATCACATTTTGAGTGATAACAAATAGATTAAAAACTATCCTCAGATATGAATCAAGAGTTAAAAAAACAATTCCTAGTGATCAATTTGTATTACTGAACTTAAAACTGGTCAACTATTACTATTAATTTTTTAGACTTTATGAAGGTATGTAAATGGGCCTGAGATTATTTACCCACCAAAGTTGAGCCTACAGTGACATTTATAGCTCTTTAGCTAAGAAAACTGAGAGCTCTGAGTCTACAATTCAAGTGCTGACACAGACAACTTCTCCAGCGTGAAGAGTCACTATAATCTACTTTGACAGCCTCCCCCACTCCAATTATTTTCATAAAAAAACAAATTAAAAAATGGTTCTGTTTTAAATAGAATTTCTGCTAAATAACTATTATCTGGGAAATACATATTATTTGTAAGCAGTGGGTAGTAATGGGATGGAACCAAGAGTCAGCTTTTGAAGCAGGAACCTGAGGCATCATTTTGTAATGCCTGAAGAGATTTTTAAAACTCATCTAAATACCATTAAACATCTGCCCTTTTTATTTCATTGATTTAAACCATTTCTGAAGACTCATGATTCAAAAAGGTAGAGATGGTAATTTAAAAGCCATGGGGGAAATCTCTCCCCAGGGAACGCTTCAGAGCAGCAGCCACCAGTCTCTGATAAGTGCTGAGTCTGTCGTGGCACTGCTTTCAGTACAGTATACGTTCTCCTGGCTTTATCTCCCAGGAATGCATGCATCCTTTCCCTGCAAGCAAAGATCCGATGGCCGTAAGTGCAAACAAAGCAGGGGCGCACAGAGGAGCAGGGCGGAGAGCAGCAGGTTCCCCGGCTGCACATGGACAGATGTCTGTGCTAACAGTTACCTTCATTACAGACAATTTAGCAAGACATACACTGTTTGCAAATTCAAGGTAATGAACCTGGAAGGTGATGTTGAATGAAGGAGTCTATGATTGTAGTCTTTTTAGATAGTATATAACCTAAATGTTTTCAATGACAATCCCAAACAATAAAGAGCAGGAAAAGGTAGGGGAGGAATTATTGCTTAATATTTGATTTTCAAAAAATCACAAAGAATGCTTCCTCTTCTTTGTATTTAATAGCATTAGACCTGTATTTTTTATCTGAATCAATCATAAATCCTTATGTAAGCTTTAAGAAACACCCCCCCGGCTCTTTTCTATATTACTACTAGAGGCCCAGTGTACAGATTCGTGCATGGGTGGGGTCCAGCTGGCCTGCCCTGATGGGGCTGAACAGGGCCAGCTGGCCAGAGGGAGGGGCCGCGGGAGGTTGGCCGGCTGCAGTGCACGTCGTAGCGACGGGTCATTCCGGTTGTTCTGGTAGCTTGGCTTATAGATAGATAGATAGATAGATAGATAATTCAGGTCTTTTTTAGCAATATATATCTACCAACACTGTTCCTGATTTGAAGTAATCTATCATCAGCTTATCCCCAAATTACTTTAAATTTAAATGTCACTTTTATATTAGTTATAATTCATTTATTTAGCAACATTTTCAAAATTAAAAGCACCCTTGAGAAGAACTCAACTGAGCTTTGCACGAGAGAAAAATACTTGGAAAGACTGCAATCTAACCTCCTGGGACACGGGCACTGTCAAGCCAACAGGCCACTAGGATTTCAGGGCGGGCCCCGTACCCTAGGTAAACACAAAGGTATGGGGCATGCTCACTCACTCCTCAGGGCTCAACTTGTACCTGTTTCCTTCAATCACAATTGGTCCCCAAATTTGGACTTTTCAATAGACAGAGCCAAAACTTAAGAAAAAAAGAAAAAGAAAAGATTTGTCGCTAAGTTCTTCCATGAGCTCACAGTGCATAAGCAATTGGAAGATCAGCTCCACCAGGGTACTCACCTTCCAGAGGGTCCTTGTTGAGTCCCAGCTGGCTAATGATGTACCTGGGAATGTCCGTTTTAATACCCTGTCCTTCTTTTGCATGGCCCTCTGCTGCTTCCAGTAGGTAGTAAAATTCTTCAGGATCAAATTCCTAGCAGAAGACAAACAAAGATGGACACTTCTTTGAGTCAAAACTGTTTAAGGTTTTATTATGTAAGTCCCATCCACAAGCAACTGCTGGGTGTACTTGGGTGTGGGTTATTTATGCAGAAAGGAGGCAAATGGCTTTAAAAAGTATATAATTCTCCCTTCATATTCAAAGACTTCATTTTTCTAAGACAATACATTTGTGTACTTGGTAACCCAGATAGAATAACCATTCCCAATATCCTTGTAATGCAACTTTGAAGGTACTATCTCCACTTTTAAGATATCTATCTTACTGAAAATAAACAGGTCTGAATTTTTAATTGTGCTTCTTTAGCAAAGTTTTAAACTCTGGGAATCTCATCCAAAAGATCCAGTTTCTCTCTCCCCACAAAGAGCCACACACCAAACAAGTAATATTAGAACATATTTTGTCAAAAGTTTTGCCAGAAACTCCCTTAGTACAGGGGTGTCCAAAGATATTAGAAGGAAAAAGTTCAAAATTACCACTTTTTTTATCAGTAAACTCTAAAATTAAGTCATTAACATTCATATAATGTGAAGGTTAAGAAAGAAAAATGCAAACTTAGTGCTTCCAATTACCTCTGCCTATTTTTAAAAACCGGTAGCACATTTTTTCCTATGTATTTTTACTTTCCTTGGTGTCTGTGGTGTCTGGCACATAGTAAAAAGCTTTAGAATCACATCACTCTAGAAGGATTTATGTGCTATAAACAATTATGCTCACAGATTTAAAGCACAGTTGCTATTTTCAGTTATACTTCCTAGATTTTTTCCCTCCAGAATTTTTCCTATGTTGATTAATGTCCCAAAAGCATGCAACTTTGGAATCTCAGAATTCCACCTGACAATTACTTGAAGAGTTTCTAAGATAAATGGTGATGGGAAAATAAAATGAGAAAGTTAATAAGAAAAATAATAAATAAAAGCCCTATTAAAAAGCTTGCTGCAAATGGAGTAAAGCCAAACCAATGTATACACTTGGTGCCTTAGACACACCTAAGACGTTGACAGCTAAGACCATTGGTGAGAGCCACTGGCAGATAAGACCACTGGTGAGAGACATATCCCGAAAATTCAGAATTCCAGTTTCAGCTGAACTTTCAACAGTTCTGAAAGCAACATTTTTAAATCTACTTCTGCGTTCACTTGTTTCTATCTTTGAGAGGCTATGCTTTTACTCTCTCTCTTCTGATTAGGAGTGATTACTGTAAAGGATTCATTTCCTTTCTAAGGCCAGATCTCCTCTGAGCCTATCTGCAGCTGTCCAGAGAAACAAGTTTTTACGCTAAATGGTATTTCCCCCCAAATTACGTCACTGCAGGAGGTACACGCATGTGGTGCACAAGGTTCACTGGGAGAATGAATAACAAGTCTTTCTTCAACCACATTTGCCAGTCACACAATCTCCTCTTCTCCCGAGGCATCAGTCTTTTTGCCCCTTTATCTTTCCAAGGACCACTCAATGCCAAGTGGTCCTTTTGATTCTGTGGCTCCAAGGCTCCTGGCCATCGATGGAGGGGCCTCCTCCCAATTCCCCTACCTTTCTCAAGGTTTCTTCTCTGCCACGTCTCACTATGCATTTGTATTTATTAATGAGGCTGTGAACATGTCACTATTATAAAAAGCTATGAATGTTAATGTGTGTGTGGTGGGGTATGTATAATTCTGAAAAGTTGTATTGTACACCGAGTTATAAAACGTTTTAATGGCTAGTGCAATTAAAAGTTAGTGTTCATAGTATGCTAGCTAAGCTCTTTTAAAAACCATTCTTATGTTCAAAGCTTCATATTTGTTCAGTGTTTCATAAAATCTCAATGAGAATTACATAAAACAGACATTTTAAAACAGAAAAATAATCACTGACCAAAACAAAAACAAACAAACTGATAAAATGAACTAAACTCTAAGTCATGTCTTCAGATCTGGATGAGGTCCTATTGCGTTCTCCCATATGGGCTGCTGACTAGAACATATTTCTAACATGCCAAATTTTAACAAATAATAATTATAACCACAGGTTACCGTATATCAGACCTCTCATTTCTGTTTCTTTGCATCTGGCCAACACCCAAAAAGTGAGGCTCAGCAAGAATTTAAATCAGCGGTAACAGTATTACACTGAGATAGGGTGAGGCACATATTTCATGTTCAGCTGTTAAGTTTGGTCAGAATGTGATATGACTATCACTTACTACAGCACAAGTCCTCGAATTCTTACTTAGAGCCAGAAAACAAGTCACACATGGATGTCATCATAAATTATAGTCCCCATTGACTCTGTTTAGCGCTGGTCTTTGGAGCCAAAGGGAATTGGAGCTGACGGTCATGGCTTTTCCACAATTAACAATAAATAATGGAGTCACCTCTAGGGGCAACTTACCAGGCACTCCAGTAACCGAGCGGGGCGGGCGATAACAATCAGGATCTTTCGGACTAGTTGTTTGATAAAAGCCAGTTCACTACTTTCTGAACGTTCATGAGCCTATGAGAAAGAATGATGATACAGAGTTGCTCCATTAAACAGAAAAGAAACTCAGCAAAGCATGCTAATTAGATAATTGCAAATATTCAAACATTAAGCGATTTAGAAAATACTTTTAAAAGATTGATAAGTGGACATTAGCTCTACATAAATGGACACTATTAAACTTCTATATCTCCAAAATGGCTCTATTAGCTAAATTTTAATTGCAAACCTTTGATTAATTCTCTCTGTTAAAAATCAAATATTAGGGCCCCTAATGTGAACCATGAAGGAAGGAGACATTAAAAGTTTATGACACATTAAGTCTGTGGTACAAGTAGAGTGGGCAGCTGCCAAGGAATCTGATTTTCCAGATGTAACATCTTACGTGTAGGAAACAGCTAACAGAGTGACTGAAGGACCACTTTTGTAACCCAGACGATGGGTATTTAACACATTCACAAAAGACATTTTACATACACAGTATGTTCAGTCTATACATTAGTTATTTCATAACATGTAAAAAAGTGTGCATTTCTTTTTTCCAATATTAGGTGGATACGGTTTAAACTTGGATACATACATATGATTTCGATTTCACATACTGAATAAATAGTACCTAGCCACGGAACTCAATAAAATTTAACTGACTTAAAGTCTTTTAAAATTTTATTATGCATGTTGCCTACATGTGCAGCCTATGCACAACAAATAGCCTGAGGACAAAACTCTGTTTATTTAGAATCATTTTAATTTTCAATGACATTTTCTTGAAGAAATTAGGTAAATCTGTATCAAAGGAGACCTAAAATGAAAGTTTAAAAATTTTAAATGTAAACTTCTGTGCATGTTTACTTTTAGGCTTTTTTTATTTTAAAATTTTTATGATTTACTTTCTTCTAAGGATTAAAAAATCAAGGTGATGCTGGTACAACAGAATATAATTGCACAGACGTAGTAATAAGCACTTAAAATCATTACTGAAGGTGCTTAATTCTGACAAGAATCAGCCTTCCCATAAACAGAATTGGTTATATTTGAAAAATGGTTCTATTTAGCAGTAATATGATTATTGAATTTAAGCCACCAAATCAAAGGCAACTTCCTAAAATGTAGGTACAAAAATCATATACCAGCAAAAGCAAAACAGCTAACATTAAAAAAAAAACCTCCCCCTCCCCCCCCAAAAAAGATCATAGGTGAATAGTGTTAGAATAGAATGTGTTCAAAGCAAACCAGCTAGTAACTATAACTATAGGTCCTGGTAACCAGTAAGACTGTTGAAACATACATAAGGAGATATACATAATATTTAAGCTATCTTTAAGTTTTCTTCCCAATTTTTGTTTTACAATAAAAAGATTTTGGAAGATATAATGAGTGCCAAGAAATGTGGTTATACATCTTCTTTATAGTTTACCCTTCCTAACTTTTTAAAAAATGTATTTTTATTGATTTCAGAGAGTAAGAAAAGGGGAGAGAGAGAGAGAGAGAGAGAGAGAGAGAGAGAGAGAGAGAGAGAGAGAGAGAGAGAGAGAGAGAGAGAGAGAATCATCCATGATGAGAGATAACCATAGATTGGTTGCTTCCTGCATGCCCCACACTGAGGATCGAGCTCACAACCTGGACATATGCCCTGACTGGGAATTGAACCATGACCTCCTGGTTCATAGGTAAACACTCAACCACTGAGCCACACCAGCTGGGCCCCACCTAACTTTTTTAAAAATATATATATATTTTTTTATTGACTTCAGAGAAGAAGGGAGAGGGAGAGTTAGAAACATCAATGAGAGAGAATCATTGATCAGCTGCCTCCTGCATGCCCTCTACTGGGGATCGAGCTCACAACCCAGGCATGTGCCTTTGACCGGAATCGAACCCAGGACCCTTCAGTTCGCAGGCTGACACTCTATCCACTGAGCCAAACCAGCTAGGGCCACCACCTAACTTTCTGATTGACAATTTGGGCTAGATACTCTAATAATTACTGCTTTATAAATTCAGAAATGCAAAAAAAAAAAAATCTAAAAAGTCTGCATATTTTGTTAGTCTCTTCAAAGAGAAATAAGAATTCTATATCTTAAATTTTTTAAAAATATTCAGTTTAGATTATACAAATTCCATTTTAAAAACTGTAATAATCCATTCATTCTTACTTCTAAGAATTATCAGCCATAATAAGGCCAAAACATACAATGGGTTATATTAACTCAGATAATATTTTATCTCCTAACATTATTGAGGAGGAATGGGGAAGCTTCGTTAAAATAACTCTAATCAGAACCATACACACAGCATGAGAAGAATAATATATTCCTGGCTGCCAACAACAAGCTCCAATGCTTACTGATACCTGTGTTTGTATTTTAAGTGTTGGCCACTGTAAAAAATACTGAGACCCAGATTTGAGGGCAGGCTATAGCTTCCTATGTGTTTCATTTTCTTTGGCTAAGTACACCTAAGTGAAAAAAAGAAAAAAAGAATGGAGACATAAAAGCATTTATCAGGAACTGACCTAGATGTCAGTACTTTAAAAGGCATCAGTTAAATCAAGCTATCCAAACCCAGGGAGACCTGGTTTGGGTATGCAAGAGATTGACAATGGGAAAAGCGGCTGGGAGGCGAGCCAGGCGGGCACACAATGTCACAGCTGGGAACTGACAACAGTGCATCGTGGGGAAGGCAAAGCAAGTCCCCACAATTCCCTGTGACCTTTTAGCGCCAAACTCTGAAAGGACATTGTGAATGTGATTGTGAAGATAGTTCTGATTTTCACAAAAGGACTGAAGGAAATGTTTATCTGTGAAGATAAATAAGAAAACATTCTTATTCAGACCCAACAATGCCCTTTATGCCACAAGTACACATGCTTCTCTGCCCCCAAAAAGAAATTTCTCTAAAAATCAACATTTTTTTAATTTATTATGTGGTCCATTCCGGTGATTTTTGGAACCCTAAGATTTTTTAATTGTCACAAACAATCCGTCAGGTCTCTCATACAGAAACAAAATTAAGTGAAAGATTTCAGTGTAAGTAGCTTTTTGTATTGATTGTACCCTTTTTGGGGAATGTCCATGAAGGAAGGAAAAACAGGACTAAGCTAGTAATTATAATAACCTCCTGGGACAGAACATGGAATTTAGAAAGAGTATCTTGCAGAGGTCTCTTCTGTTTAGAAAGGCTCCATTTAACAAATATAATTTTTAAGGTATTCTCATAAAAGTAACATGCATAGTGTTTCCTGCATTTTCCAGAAGTTGACTTAATTAAAAGGAACAGCAGAATTAGATTACCTGACAACAGATCAGAACGGACAGGATATTTTGGCATGCATACACATGCATCCTCTTCCTCCCACCTGCCTCCCTCCCAGTTACTGAGGAGCCATGTAAACATCAGCATGGGGCCAGGTGCCAGGGAGTTAGAGATGATTTGAGGGCGATCCTTGTCCCTCACAGAGCCCATGGCATGCTGGTGAACTGAGGCCTCCAAACAGATCAATACAGTGTATTGTGGTTAAATGTATTGAGATGAGGAGAGTGACACAGGCCACGTTATGGTTTTTACTTGTAGGCAAAATGGAGCCACTAAAGGTTGCTAGATAGATGTTCTTGCAGTTGCACAGAGTATGAATTTGAGGGGTGAGGAATAGAAGGGGACAGACCAGTGAGCCCGAGGGCCTGAGCCTGGTAATAGAACAGGAGGGAGGATTTGAACTCATATCAGTGAGTTTAGTGAGAGTGAGTCAGAAGCCAGTTATTCTGCACATGTGGACTGAGTCCCCCACTGTGTCACACCTTATCCTAGGTGAATGTAACAGACAATATCTCTGCCCACACAGACATGATGACCTAGTGCAGTGCTACTCAAATGGTGGCCTGAAGACTGGGGCCAGTACATGAGCCGTTATCAGTCTGTGATGAGAGAAGTGCAATTACTGAGACTAAGCATTTAGCAACCCTTACAGCCATTCTACACGGCTGGAACCCAAATGCATGATCATTTGCCTGTAAATTAATTTTCATTTTAATTTATAGGAGAATTGGTCCATATCAAACTAGAAATTAACAGCAAAAATTAAAAAATAAAATAAAACAATGTGTTTATCCCCAAAGTCAGTCTGAGAAATACTGCCTTAGTGGTTGCAATAGGTTGGAATGTGAGAAATGGGAACAGAGATCAGAAAACTCAGTTGGGAGATTAGGATGGGAAAGGGGATAAAATAGCTGCTACACAGAGAGGGATCTTCTCATCTTGCCACAACTAAATTCCGTAGGGGCAAGGACGGATGAATTTCTAGATAACTAAGATGCTAATATTTTCCTTCAGCTTCATGCAATTATTCACATATTCATACTTACAGAAAACCATCTTCGATTACGTTTACATGGGCATAATTTATTCCCCGTGAGATACAGAAATACAATATACCCTACTATATAGGCTAAATAGGTTTTACTTGTAGGCTGTGGCTTATCAATTTCAATCAGAATAGCAACATTAAGCACTAATGCCATTCCACCGTGCACACTACCTCCCGGTCCCAGGGATTATCAGGAGCGAGGCCTGCAGGAGTTAGACCTAGACAAGCCCTGTGTTTACCTATCATTTCGGAAATTGGATATTTCGTTAGAAGAAGAACTGACACTAATGAAAATCTAAGTTGCCATTTACCACCCAATACCACATGCAGGTTAATTAATAGGACACAACAGCCTGGAAGAAGGCAGCAATTTTCCATTTAGCTTTTCCAGATATTAGAACTAGATAGCATCATCAAATAACACACATGCACTCAGGCAATTTATAATGTTATGGCTAAGGGATGGGGTGGGGGAATCATTGCTTCAAAATCCTTCACAATCCACTTATCCTGGAGCCATGAGCTGTTGGGTCCCAAGGTTTCTGTAAAGGTTATTACATTAACTTTCTATTACTATAAATGAGGACCAGAATCCATTTATGGCAAGTAGCAATCAGGTGGTATTTTTTCCCTGCTTCTTTTTTGCTTCCCTGGAATATGAACTCCATCGCACGGTTAAAACTTGTTAAGCAAATGCTCTCATAAAAAAATTTTTTTTTCCAGGGGAAAGGCAAAATAAGTCAGCAAACTCTATATGCCGCATGATCCTTACCTCCTGTAGCAACTTATCTAATTTGTGCTGCAATTCAAGGAAGTATCGTGAGGTGATGAGGCCCTGGTGGGATTTATCCAAGCAATCTCGAGCCAGCTCAATAATCTGGTGGTGAGTGAAACTGAGCACCCCATCTGCCAGGGGGAGCACGTGGTCAGGGGAGTAGCTGGTGATGATGTCCGTCAGACGGTCTTCCATCTGCGCGGTGGCCTGTTTAGAGAAGATGTGCACACACAGATGTAACAAGGAAACACACATCTGGACAATTCTATCATCACGCTTCTCTTGCATTTTCAGAGACTTCCTCAAGTTTTTAAATATAATTCTAGAAATTAAATTCAAAAGAAGCCTCGTTTCTTAATGATACTATACTAGTGCACATGGCACCATACATTCCTCAAAGCCCGTGGAATGTACAACAAGGAGAGTAAACCCTGACATAAAGTATGGGCTTTGGGTGATGATGAGGTGACCTTGCAGGTTCATCCTTTGTAACAATGGGGCTACTGTGGTGGGGGATATTGATGGGAGGGGGTTGTGCATGTGTGGGGTCAGGGAGTATTTGGGAACTCTGTACTTTCTGCTCAATTTTGCAGTGAACTGAAAACTGCCCTAAAAAAAACCAGTCTATTTGGAAAAAAAAAAAAAAGAGGTCACACCATGTGGAAGAAAGATCTGAGGTATGGAAGGAAAACTGAACGTCCCAGGGCAATAATTGCTTTTTTCCTATGCCCATGTAAAATGGCCCATGTAACCTTCTTCAGGTAACTTACTATCCGTGAAATGTTATGCTTTCATTTCAGATCTTCAATTCTTTTAAAGACACTGTCAAAAGCATCGAATGGCTCTGTTTCTACCTATTCCACCATCGGGACTGTCACTGGAGCCCCACAGGGCAGGCCAAGTGTGTCCTTGGCTGTTTTCATGTACCAGGAACCAGCATCTTACACCACCTTGATCCTTTCCTCAAAAAGCTGCGTGACATGTGCAAAAGGCCAAGGGGGTTCCCTTGGTAACGTAAATCTACAATGTCCTTTCCAATGTCCATTTCCTTGCCTGTGATGCCCCATTGCCTAGTCAATACTCCTCACTGTTGGCTGCCTAATCAGGGAGGTTCCCTCTGCCTCCTGCCCCCTCTGAAGTCCTAACCCATAATAACTACAGTCAGGACCCGCTTCCCTGGGAAACAAGTGACATGTGATAAATAGCTGAAATGGCTTTAATCAATGGCATCAATGTTGGGTTCATTACAAAAATAAGTACTCTACTCCTGATCTATGAAACCAAAGATTTCCTTTTGTTCTCTTGCCCAGGGCTGTAACGGTAGGGGGTGGGGGGGAGGAAAAGGGACAAAACGTAGAAATTGCCTTCTCCCACATGTGCAGGACACTTTGGTGGAAAAGCTGTGGAAATGAGGTGTCAGAAACTATCGGACAGCAGCTTCTTGCAGCCAGGGTGCCTGGCAACAACCATTCATCCAGGCCTCTCAGGCTCAGTTCAAATCCCTTTTGCAAGCCCTGGCCGGTGTGACTCGGTTGGTTGAGCTCTGTCCCACACACCAAGAGGCTTCGGGTTTGATTCTGGTCAGGGCACATGCCCCGGTTGCATGGTCGATCTCCAGTATGGGGTGTGCAGGAGGCAGCAGATCAATGTTTTACTCTCACATCAATGTTTCTCTCTCCCTCTCCCTTCCTCTCTCTCTAAAATGAAAAACAAACAAACACATTTTATTTAAAAAATTCCTTTTAGCCATTCTAATGGGGAACATGGCACTATTAAGGTTAGATATGTAATCGGTAAAGAGATACGAAGTCATAAAAACAAAACATTAGGCTAAAAAAAAAAAGATGTCCATGACATGCCAGGCTTCTAAGGAAGGACACAGTCTCTGCTTAACAAGACTGCGGGCCCAGAGCATGGGCACGGAGAGCACCAGGGGCGAGAGGCCCCAGTGGTGCTACAACAGCAGGACTCACTTGGGGCCAGTTCAGCACCAGACTGTGTGGCTAGCTCTCAGCAGTTTGTAAACATGTTTAGTGATTCCATCTTTCTAAGGAGGCTGTGCTGTTGTATGCAGGTCATTTCTAGATTGAACCATTCCATCCCTTACAACCACCTTACGGACACTAAACCTGCGGTGCCTGTTTGTTCCAATGCCAGGCACCTTCAATTCAACCCATTACCTTTGGGAACCTTTCTTTGTAGACATGGTTCATCATAATTATTTCATGGTCACAGCAGGCGGGAGAACGTCCAGGGCTGCAAGCAAAGCAAATTACCCTTTTAAACTTGCCACAGCGTGAAATGAAAATAAGCCTTTTATTTATAAACAATTGGTTGCATCAAAAGTACTATGCAACCTTTGTAAAAAAAACAAAAACAAATAAACGTATTAGGTACTAAACTACAAAATCATTCATTAGTGCACACACACCTACCCACAAACAGAGACACCCTCATGAGGATTCGACAAGCAAGTTCAAGAAGTAGAATGCCACATATTAATTACAGCTGCACTGCATAACTGAGGAAACGGTCTTAAATTGAGCTTATATTCTGTATGGAGCATGCACTTGTGCATGAGTCCTGGAAACCAGTTAGTGAACTGCACTATAAAAGCAGTTAGGGTGGCCACAAAAACAACCTCAAGCCCATGTGGAAGTGTCTAATTTCACACTTTCATCATACACCTGCGCTCCGCCACGGCCCACTGAAGAGGGTGAGGAGCCTTCCACACACAGGTGTCAGCATTGAAATCCATTTTCTAGCTTAGCAAACATTTATTTGGGATGCTGAGGTGGGTGTTATGTACAATATGAAACAGGCATACAACTGTGGTCGTTTTTCTTTATTTCAGTAGCAGGTCTGTGTTCCTTCTTAGTGGTATGTAGTTGTGCAACTTCCGTGTGAGTATTTATATGCCCAGGAGGACATTGTTTGCACTAGAGATCCTAGATACTCCTTTCATAAAACTAAAGGGCAGCTGTGTAGTAACATGCAATGTCATTCAATGCAGGCATAAAATTGGTCTTTTATTCTATGTCTCAAAATATTCTAACACATCCTACAATTACCAAATGTGGTGATATTTGTTATTAGTTTATGATACTAAATATGAAGGATACAGAGGGGAAAAAAACCCTTCTGAGTAAACTTTAATATTCAATTGTACTCCTGACAAAATATTTTTTTATAATAAAACCTTAATATGTCAAAGTGCACCAATTCTATACCATCAGATCTGGTACTTGCTGGACCCAGAGATGGCTGCCCAATCCCCCTGCAGTTGCTGGGACAGGGGTTGGTCCCTTTAGCGATGGCCTCAGCTGCAGAGTCACCTCACCCAAGGCCATGCCCTTTCCAGGGGAGTACGTCCAGCGACTGAGGTGGAGATGTAAAGGATGGGCCATTGGACCTGGAGGTACAACTGATGGGTCATGTCACCCCAGGGCTCCCTGTGGGATCGGCTACACTGTGGGCCTGTGTGGCAGCTACACATCTCCCTGTGGCCCATGCTGCTCCCCCTCCTTCCGCAGGGGTGGATCCCAAGCACTCCTCATAAACATCCCGATCTCTGCTTTAGAGTCTGCTTCCTCAACCATCAAACTGTGACTTTTGAAATAAGGTCAAAATAAGACTGGCTCTATTTTTTTTTGTCAAAAAATTTGAACTACATTGGGCATCCACAAAATTCAAGGGACACAGACTGCTAACAGTTTGTTCAAAATCCTGGAGAAAAGAACGAAAGCTCTCGGAGGGCTTTTGTAATGTAGAATCTAAATACCACATGTGAATCTCAATGTGTTGTCTTCCCTTTCAGCCCAACTTCTCCCTCTTAAATTATTAACTCCTCTTGCACCATAATTCGATCGTCTTGAAATTTCCAAAGCCTAGAAGGTCTTACAGATCCTTTAGCCACTGTAATTACTGCTACTACAGCAATTCGTAGGAATTGTAAGAATTTAAAAGAAAAATAACACGACCTCTTTCAATGGTAATTAACAACATCCTGTGCAGATGGGAAAATCACACTATAGTTATAGCAGTTCACAAATCAATGTATGCATACATGAATTACAGGACCAAAAGTCTTCCCTTGAAAGGATTGAAAAGAGGCAATCCAATTAAGCAACATTTTTCAATTGGGTCTACACACCTCAGACTTCGGGAACGGGGGCGCATAGGGGTGTTCCTGCATCTGTTCTCCGTGGCGATGCTTTCGGTAGTACAAAAATGTTTCGATAAGAAGTGTAATTCATCTGGCGTTGGTTGGTATGGTAACTGGTGCAACTTCTCCTGGGAGGAACAGGATGACTAAAACAAACCAGAGAGAAGTTATGTGACTACCTTAAGAACAGTAGGGGGTGGGGGGGGGCGTAAATGGTGATGGAAGGAGACATGACTTGGGATGATGAACACACAATACAATATACAGATAATGTGCTATAGAATTATACCCCTTACACTTATATAATGTTAACAAATATAAACCCAAATAAATTCAATTAAAAAATGTCTTTCAATGTATATATAAAAGCATTAAAGCTTGATATCCCATCATTTTACACTGCTTCCTTTTCATGTTATAAATAACTACTGCCTACATGATAACACCTTAATACTTTTTCTGGGAGGTCAAAAGGGGTTTCTATATTTCGTCTCATTGGTCTATAAGATGATTTCCCCAAAGAGTTTCCTCTCTGGGGAAAACCCAGGCTCTGAAAATGGATAGGACCCAGTCAAAGCCAAAGCACGACAGTAACAATTGGAGTGAGAATTTGGGTGCATTAAGTGACAGATTAGCTCTCAACGGAGTACGGTACACTTATGTCTACTGTGGCTTCTAATCAAGTACTGTGACTGTGACTTGTATGATGCGTGATCATAAATGAGGAACTGAGATCTCTTTACAAAGCATGCTGCCCTTTGATGCAACCACCACTGATATGTGTCCTGGGTGAAAAAAGGAACAAAGAAAGATTCTTTTCTCAATAATGCCATTGTTTTAAAAACTGGATTTTCTTTCCTTTTTTCTTTGACTAAGACTATTATGTTTTTTTAATAGTTTAAGTGGTGGTGAGTTTTAAATCCCTTGAGTTTAGATTTACTCTTTGAAAATGTTCATTCAATACTTGGAGCAAGGTAAGGTAGAAAAGGTGAATGGTTAAATCACACTGCTTTTAATCAATCTGAAGAATAAAACTATAAAACAGAGACTGATGTTTTTATTGGATGATGAACTCTGTAAGCAATTCTAACAAGAGATTGAGAAATTTTTGAATAATAGAAACATAGTTAGAATAAACATATTTGGAAAGATACCGCTCTTTTAAAAATTCAGTTATAATAGGCTATTTTTCATTTAAAAAAGTCATTAGGTTAAGAGCACACTTCATAAACACTGAAATCGCAATGCAGTGACACTAGAAATGAGTGACTAGAGCTTAAAAATATCCCAATACCTGGAAATTATAGACCACTGTACCAAGTACATACAGAGATAGAGATTTTTCTAATGTAATGAGATCATTTTATAAACCATTAAAATGAGAACACTACTAGACAGGTTTATGAGATAAACCATAACTCCATTCAGGAAGTACAGGCACAACCTTTAAACCCTTCACTATGAAAAAACAACAACACACAACAACTCAAGAAATAGGCAAAAGAATAAAAACCCAAGCAGGAGAGAAGCAGCTGTGATAAAAGCAAAAATAAGGAAATGAACAAACAGAAAAAGAGAATTAAGAATCTGTACATATATCTCAAAGGTAAATCCAGGTCCATAATTCTGTATCTCAGATTTCAAAACCCCGAAACCCAGAAGTTAATTCATAAGTGTATAGTAATCCCCTTTGACGGCAAAGCATCAACTGAACGGATGGCAAGCTACTTAAAAATATGTATTTAATCCACTTAGTGTGAATGTTGACTCAGGTTGCTGTAGAAATTTAATATATTTGATTATGAGCTGCTGGGCCAGTTGCTGCTGGGCTGTTGTGTACAGTACAGGGATCATGTTACCTTTCTAAAATGTGAACATTAATTCCAAATTAATTTGTAGCAGGCTCCAGAAGTTCACATAAGATATTATGCACTTGCATGAGAATGATCCCAAGAGACTCCAATTCGGGGGGGTTCCCTCTGTGGAGGGCGGGAGGAGAAAGGAAGAGATCGGCTGGGAGGGGCTTTCGTGGTATAATTAACATTTTATTTGTTAAACAAAATAAAAATGTGTCTTTAAAAATAGTTGCAGCTAAGGTAACAAAAATGTTAACAGGAGTTAACGCTAAGAGGAAAATAATGTGGTTATGCCATATCCAGCCATATAACTGAATTCCATAAGGAATGTGTGATGGGGAATATGTAAAGCAATGGTGCAGGGGTGTGAGTCATGTAACCTCCACAATATTAAAGAAGCATGGAAGCTCGGAGCTGCTCTGGGGAGAGAGCCTCATCTCAGTGAGAGCAAGCGAGGTGCGAATAGGAACAGGTGACAACAGGATGAGTCCAAGCACTGGGAACAACTGCAGGCCCCCAAAATGCCCTGGGAAGTCAAAAGGCACCAAATGGGGCCCAAGCAGTGAGTGGATATGGGACAATAGAGAAATGCAAGGCTCAGTTTCAGCAGTAAAGGATGCAAAGCCAGTGGAGAGAGCGTCCAGGACAACAGAGGGTGTAGGTCCTGCCCCCCTGCCCCCAGAAGACCTCATACCCCATTGAAAAGATACCTCCACTGGTCAAAACATCCTTGGAACACCACTTTTAGAAGAGTTTCAAGAATTAGTTTCTTAATTAGCTGAGCTCATTACTTTACATTTTTAGCATGTTCTCTAAGTGTGATGCCAGTGAGTCTCACCCAACTAGTTTGCATATGACCTTTGACTGTATCATAAGGTCAATCCACTTTCAAAGAGTGAAGACTGACACAAAAACAGTGCTGCTAGTTCTCAAGGCAATAAGAAGTCACCCCAAAATGTTCTTAGTAATGATATCCTATATAATAAAAGGTTAATATGCAAATTGTCCCCTTGACCGGGAATTTGACCGGGAGTTCGACCAGGGGGTGGGGCCGGCCGGCCAACCACCCATGGCCTCTCCCTCTCTGGCCAGCCCCGCCCCCAACTGGGGGCAGGGGTGGCCTGCCAACTGCCTGTGGCTCCACCCCTGGACAGCCCCACCCCCGATCGGCTCCCCTAAGCTGGCCTGGCCTGGCCCCACCCGTGCACGAATTCATGCACCGGGCCTCTAGTCATTCAAATAAGTCTTTAGTCTCTCAAGGTAACCATTTTGCAGAGGACAGTGTTCAAATGCATGCATAATTTTTTACTTGTTATCTATTTCAAGTAATATCATTTTAGAGTCACATCTCATATTTAAGGCATTTCTGATTTCCTTTTTCCCCCAGCAGAAAATAATTTATCTGGTAAGAAATATAGGGAAGGATCCTCCCATTGCTGCAATTACATATGACTTATATTAAAATTAAAAATTATGAATGTTATCTGAATATTCTTTAAAAGTTCCACAAATTAATTTTAACTTCAAAACTTGAAGTTAAAATAAGTTGCAACACTAAATATTCTCTGGAAGGACCGATTAAACTTCATATGATCAAATCTTTCCAATTTAGGAACATAGCATTTTTAACACTAGCCAGTTTTGCAGTTTCCATTATATCCAAGAACAAAGACATGATATTTACATTCCAGCATAAGAAGTTCTAGAATTCAGCTAACAACACAATTGTCTGTAAAACTTACACTGTATTTTCAAAGTGTCTGTAGTTTTATTTGTATATATTCTGTATTTTTATTTAAAAAATAACTAAAATGCATTTCCGATTGACTAAATAAGTAAACCCAGAAACTGAGAATCTAAAAGTGATTCAGATTAGATTTAGAAGAGAAAGAGACTAATAAGCAATTTTGCTAAGTTTTTGCCCTAATATTTAAGATACAAGAACACAAAGAAACAGGAAAATGAGAAGTAACTCTTCAACTTTTCAGTCATAATTTTCAGCAACAACCAATAGGGAGAAAAGGCAGCTGAACCTCTGTGTGACAGCACCTACACTCCACAAATGAAAGAGTGCCTGTGTCCTTCGGAGTAATTCTGAAAGCTAAAATTTCATTTTGAAGGACAAAACAGGAATAGGAGGTCAACAGTGATATGCCACCACTTCAATAAAATACACACAAGAGAAAAGCTGTCTTACCTCTGGCCAGAAGCTGTTAGAAACACAGAGTATGTGTGTGACTAACCACTGTCCCAGGGGGCTCTTCCTTAGGCACATATGGAAGTCAGGGACAGCAGGGACTCCATTCTGACAGATGGCTAGGTCAAGTTTATAAATCACAAGGTTTGTTTGAAGAAACACCATGTAAATTCCTTAAAAAGAGCCAGGAGCCTGAGTCTAGCTCATTTACTGTGTTCTTACTGTTAAAACAAGGGGGACAGTTCATTCTCTGTGCCTCACACTTTTGATCCATAAGATGGAAAAAATACCAGCAACTATATTACAGGGTATGTTGTAAGATTAAATGAGCAAATGCATTACAAATAATTAGACTAGTGCTGAGCACATAATAAGTATTTATTTAAAACTTGTTTTTAAAAATTATTTCTACCAAACACAGCCTGATTCTACGTAGCTCATCCTTTAAAAAAAAAATAGGTACACTTTTAAAAGTGGTGTATGATTTACTAGTTGGAGATAGAAAAAGAAAGATCCTGCACTCTTCCCTATTTTTCTGGCAAAAGAGAAATTTTGATGTCTCAATTATAATAAAATTTGACTGAAGGGCAAAACAAGGCAATATAGTTGAAATAAAAAATAATGTGGAGTTAAAAGACATGATATACATTTAAGGCATAGGGAGGATTAAATGAGAATATGTATGGGAAAGCCACCAAAGAACCAAGCATTCTGTTTATTGGTGACTGGGTTCTGATTGGAGAGGCCCAAGGGTCTAGGGAAGAAGAGCACTTACAATTTAGAAAATTCCACTTTTGTTCTTTTTGGTCAATAAATTTTGGCATTTATTTTCACACTGTGGTTCTCCATGTTTTCAACATCTAAAATATGAGCCAATAACCAATGACAGTTACTGACACATTAACCGAGGGTGACTTTACTGCCATTTAGTGACCTTTTTATCCACTGGAGCCATTTAGGAGTTTCAAGCATCCTTTTCTGCTGTGAGAAGGATGTGCCATTGAAACCACTCAAGGTTGTCAGGATGTTTCACAAACATGACCTAAATGGACAATAAACTCATATACCACAACAAAATGGAACAATGGATAGGAAAATAAATGACCTCCCCTCAATAAAATGCTATAAGGAAATGGTAAAAATAATCCAACAGATTTTAATAAGTCACTTTTAAAGGGGCTCCAAAAGCCCACATATTTTGCACCTGGAATTCAGAAACATGTAAGATAGTAATGATACCAGTTAGATTTTATAAATTTAATTGTAGTTTCTTTTCAATTTAAGTGTTATTAAGTGGCTGACTTTATAATGCTTAGCATGGTACTTGGGTCTGTGAAAAAAAACAAAGTGGATGGACAGCCCTCCTCAATAAACCACAGATTTTGACAAAATGGAAATGAATCAAAAGGGGTTCTAAAGTCACCAGGTGACACTCCTGGCTGGGACAGAGCATTTGGACCACCCCGTGGGTATTCACTGAACACATACAACATACCAGGTCTTCATAAATGACCAGCGGCCAAGGCTCTGCAGAGACAGAGATCCCACAGCATCACTAATTTAAACTGAGAAAGCACCTATCTGACCTGCTGAGTTGTTGCCAGGAATTATTAGGGCTCTTGTTGAAATGCTATCGCTTGGAGCCAGAGAACACCCTCCTTCCTCCATCCTTTTTCATGGTCTCATCTTGTCTCTTTCTTTATCTTAAGTTACTACGAAGTTCTTTTAATCTCTCCTTAAAAGGAAGTTCTTATCCAGAAGGCACAGATAAATTTAAGGCTGGCCATTTTTTTTTTCTTTGAAGAAGAAAAACAAACAAAACAAAAAACACCCCAAACATACAAATACTCTGCATCTAAGCCCCACAAGAAAACAAGACCCAGGCCATCAAATGGCATTGTCAGTATTACTATCACTGGCGTGGAACCAAAGCAATAAAACGAGATTGTGTTTTCCATCCCAAACTACAAATGGTATGAAAAGGAAAGCTCCTGATCTTCAAGCTTGTGATCCTGGGACTTACTCAATTGGTGCACCATAGCATAAAATAAAGCTTGCTGCAAAAAGGATGTCCTTTTTATGTTTGTTAGCTCATCAGTTGATGCATAACCTATTCAGAGTGATAGACATACAGCATTTATCCTCTCCTCCCCACCCGGAAACACCCGGAGAAAACATGGCCAGCGTAAGAGCTGTAGGTGGTGAGGGAGAGGGGAACGTCAGACACTTACAGAGACGGTGGAGCTGGGCGTGTTTGTCCCATAGCCAGAGGAGGGGAGAGAAGCCAGGGACCAGCGGCGTCCATCAGTTCTGTTGAGAATATGAGATTAGTTTAGGCCAACAGTGGAGTGCCGTGACCCGGGAATCCCAGGGAAACCAAGTACTTTTAGTCAAACAAATGACACAAACATGGTCAGTGAGGATGTGGAAATGTTCAGCAGGGGCCAGAATAAACAAAAATTATACAGCAGGTTGACTTTTATTTAAACTGAATCAATATGCCCAAACAAGGAGAAAGTGAATGGGTGGATCCATATTATTGATCTCTCACTAATACACTTTGACAAAATGAATACCTGGGATAATTACAATGGTCAGACTCAGCAGATTCACACGAATAAAAACAGAAAGGGAGGAGGAAAACACTCTAATCTGGAAACTGATAACGGGGGCCGTGATCTGGAAGGGCCTGGATTCCGAGGAGGAAAACACTCTAATCTGGAAACTGATAACGGGGCCGTGATCTGGAAGGGCCTGGATTCCGTGCTGCAAGCCGGTGGGGACTTTCCTTACATCCTAAAGACAGTTCCGCTTATTGTCTCCCAGGGAACAGTCCTACTCATCCTGCCTGGGGAAGAAAGGATCAGCAGGCTCACGGCTGGCTCAAGCCTTAAGTGGCAAATGACTTTGGCACTAAGAAAGTGTCTGACCTTATGCTCAGAATCTCTTAAGAGTGATTCCATTCTGACACGACCTGGCTTTAGAAAGTGTTTCAGCTAAAGCCTCTTGCAGAGTTTATGAGTATGCAGCCTGCTCTAACCGACAGCAGGGGTAGAATAAAAATGTTGTGCTAGGGACGAAACTGAATGCAAAGAGTGGAGTTGTCCGCACCAGTCGTAGAGCCAAAGCTGCCAGGAGTCTTAAAGAGAGTAGTTTTACTTCCAAATGGTGATGGGACGGGTAGCTCTCTGGGTTGAATGAATTAGCGTCATTACAAGGGTCTCAGATGAGTTAATGAAGTAGTAGAGACAATACTGTTGTTAAGGCGAGGAGACACCAGAAAGCAAATTTTCTGAACTCTCTGACCTTCCAGAGCCATTGCTTCATTAGCGAGAAGCAAATTTTCTGAACTCTCTGACCTTCCAGAGCCATTAGCAAGGAGGAAACAGGAAAAAATTACTCTATAAAGAGCTACACTGCATCCTCAGATGGAGTGTCAAATGCAGACTTTTTATAATTGATGATTATATTAATTTACTACATGAGAGATGAGAGTGGACCACGTTTATCAGACATATTCACCATTAAGTTGAAGTCAGGGAATTTAACAGCATTAGACGTGAATTTGAGAAATGTCACAATTAGATGTTCATGTAAAAAAAACTGACAGTTCAGCCTAAATTACGATCAAGGGAAAATGTAATCCTAGGCTACCATGGATGCTGCCTCCGAGAAATGCAAATGGTCCACAAAGACGAAATGGAGAGTTCCAAGTGGACAAATCACAGTGGGACTACAATGTGAAGATTTCAGTAACATTTACCTGTCATTTCTGTGACCATGATTGGAGTACAATTGAATCAAGAATGTTTTAAGAGAAAGAAGCAAAATAAGATGTTTGTAAATATACCAGAGAGAAGAATTAGGGGGAGAATTAAGGGAAATATACCAGGGGAGAATTAAGTCATATATTCTTTAAAAGTATTTTTAAACCATTGAAAAATGTTCAAGATTTAAGAAGAAGACAATTATAGTAACATGCTTCTAAAGATACCCAACTGTCAAATAAAAGGACGCAGGTGGTCCTGTTTTCTTTGGCTACTTATGACAGACTTAAAAACCAATGCCTGTACTTTAATAAACACCTCCAATTTTTAAAAGCAAGAAAAGACTGTGATTTTAAAAGGATTATTCAGTACATTTAATAGCAATTATCATAAACTAGTCTCTGGAAAGAGTAAGGGACAGAATTTCCCCCACCATGATTTTGTTTTGAGATTCATTAACTCTCCTTTCCCTCAGGTATCGATGAACTTATTTCAGATGAATGAACAATTCCAAGAGGAGTCATGTTCTTATTAGTTCTGAAGCATAAATCACATTTGCTTATTCCAGAAAACACACAACCAGAAAGACGTTTAAACAAAAATGTGCTCGGGACCTTGTGCATCACGGACCAGAAATAATTTATGTCTCATAAAGTTCCCTAAGTTGTCCGTGTCTATTTACTCAAATGGAGCACACAGGACCATTGCATTTTTATTACCATGACAACCGCACATCAGAAGTTACTATAGATGCTATATATAGTACTTCAGAGAGAATGCCCCTTTCTTCAAGAAAGCTATCTCAAAAGTGCAATTTGGATCCCACTAACAATGTTGTCTTTTCTTTGCAGTAGCTACCAATAAAATGTTATCTGAAGACAAGATGATATTCTTGCCAAAACAACAAGGCTTTTTGGGGAAAAAAAAGCTTTTTCTTTGTGGGTGGAAATCTCAGTGTTCTGCTAAATGAAAAAGTAAGAAGGGGAAAACATCTGATGGGAACACGGGATACAAAGAGATGGGCAAAAAAACCAAAACATCTCAACACCACTCACAAAAATTTAGATTACTATGGTGAACAACAAAGAAAGAATGAAAAGTTCTCATATCAACCTGGCTGCTATAACTGTAAGAAAAGGAAGCAGATTTCTTTGTTTAATTGGTAGAGTCACCTGGGTGATGCACTTTATATTCTAATTGAAGTTGGACTAAGCTAATATAATGTAACCAACTAAAGTTCACTCCAGAAAGAATTCTGAACATAACTAGTAGGTTGTTCTGCCCACTGGCGCTCAACAAGTGCCTTTTGACCTGAACTCAGCAGGCAGGTCTGTTCCAGTCATTTGCCTGTGGAAATATATCCTGATATTTAACCTGGTAAATAACAACAAGGCAAGTAGGAGACACATGGCTTTATTCAGGGCTTATAAGCCCGAGAGTGAAAGCAATTTATAAAGAATAAGTCTCCACAACTTCTGGGAAAGGCAGAACAATGTTATTCTTCCCATCAAGGAAAAAAAGTTAAGTAACTCCACGATCAGATGGACTGTAGTTAGCAGTACTGTAGTTAGCAAAGTAAAAATGTGTTTCCTTGCTTTGGACAAAATCAACTATACTACAATGCTTATTTTCATCCTTTTGTTTTAACTTGATATTAAAAAAATTAACTAGATGAATTTACTCTCAAATATGTATTAGATAATTTGGAAAGTGTGTCCATCATACTTTTGAGTCTGAAATTAAACTATGACATTACAGAGGATGTCTACAGGGGGAGTATTACTTATCACATGGTTTAAGATCAGAAACGATTAATCATCTGATCATCATCCCTATACCCAAGAGTAAGTTGAAAAACAGAGCAATCTCTCCTCTTTTGGACCAAATACACAAAATAATAAAATGTGGAAGTCTCAGAACGGCATTACTTTTTAGGCTCAGAAATTTATACCAAATGGAAGCCAACGGAGGACCCGGAGAGGAATTTCCATGTTTTCTAAATGAAACTGAGCTTTAAAATGCAAGAGACAGACCCTAGGTAAATAAAAATATGCCAACTGGAGTTTTCACAGCAAACACGGGTTCTATTTACTTGAATAAAAGTTTAAAAAGATGATCACTCATATCCTGTCTAAATTAATACTTTCTGAAGAGTGTGGAGAGAGTTCCATCTGGAAATTCATGCAAAATGAACTAGAGGTCTCCCATGATAATCTTCTGTCACGGTTTATGGTTTATTTGTAAAAAAAATTAGCATGCCTGGGGGTTTGTGTATTTTTTTAATAGCTAAGAAACCAGATTCATCTGTCTTCCAGTCACCCACTTAATTATTAGATTCTCTTCATTTTCATAAATCTGGCAGGATTAAGAGGCTATGATTTCTGTCATGTTTAAATGCATGCTGTAATGAGATTGCATTTTTCTTATTACTTAAAATAATTAAATGCATTCTCTTTAAGAAGAAAGAGAGAGAGATGTGTGTTTTAAAGACTATGGTGGGTTCCTGTTTGTCAATTTCTAAAAGTTTTTTTGTTTTCATTGATAAGAGTAGCACTGCCATGAATTAATAGTCACTGGGCAAACGCAGGCTTTGTGGGACCAGTTTATTTCCCCATTTTCTTTACAGTGCTTAAAACAAGGAGCTCAAAGAAGAAAAGCTGGAACTAGAGGAAATCAGGGGATGGGTTTCAGGAAGTTCTGGGAGATCATGTCTTAATTCCTCCGTGTCCTCCTCATGGTGGAGGGCCGAGACCTCACACATGAACATTTAAACACACGGGGCGGGAATGTTTACAAGGGAATCTTACTTACAGAGAAGTCTGAAAATACTGCAAACAGATCCTCTCCTCTGGATTCAGGAATATAAAATGCACTACATGCTGACAAATGGCAGTGAGGACACTGCAGTTTGGCCAGTCAGTAACAAGTGTTAAAACAAATCTATTTTTTTTTAACTTACTATGTGTCTTTTAGTGCTACTTTAATCCACTTCAAGGTATAACTAGATCTCTGAGGAAAATTCAGCAAATATCTAGGACATTCAGACCATCAACTGAATTTATCCTGAATATTCAGAGGCCTCCGTGAAAGGGCATTTTGTTTTCTGTGTGTTATTTCTGGGCAGGAAAGGACAGGGTACGTATGTGAAAGGGACGATCGGGCCAGGAAGGTGGAGTTTGAATCTGACAGGGTAAAGTACACTAATTCCGTGGACAGACACAGGAAAGGTGGCTGGGTAGACCCCTCGCACTTGGTGAAATCATAATAGAAGATCTGGCCCTGAAAAGTTTCTATATGAGATTATATGCCCCGCTGTCCTTGGAGGGCAACACTGCTCTTGATTCAACAAGTTTCTATATGAGATTATATGCCCCGCTGTCCTTGGCTGTCCTTGGAGGGCAACACTGCTCTTGATTCAATGACCCAGATATGAGGCAGATATCCTCGATATTGGTGCCCAATTCTAACTACAATAGAAAACATAAACCTTCCTATGGCTCCCGCATGGCTTTATCTCAGGGGGATCGATCAAATGATGGCTTGATGATCTCAAGTAAAGGGGCATCTTAGAGCTGATACCTTGTGACCCCCCCAAAAGTCATTTTTATTTTTTAAAAAGTGCATTTCAAAAACAACAACAACAACAATAATAAAATATTGCCCCAGGACACATAGATGAATCAAGTCCTTATACTGTAAGCTCAGAAAATTCACTAAAAATCTGTTGAGCATTAAGCATGTATAAGTCATGTACTAAGCATGGGGGAAAAGATGGAAATGGTCATTTCCTGTTATCGGTGGGAGCCCACCATCGAGTGAAGGACCGAGAGGTAGAGATAACTCTAACACAAGGCAGAAATCATCTCTAAAATGGTTAAAGCAAGAGTTATAACAAAGTTCTGCGATAGCCAATGCTGTATTTGGCCAGGGGAGTTCAGAGAAGATCCTACGGTATGTAAGAGGCAGGACCTCACAAGGCTGAAGGCAAGGGTGCAGGGGGCTCAGGGGAAAGTTGAGGGGAGTGGGAGTGTGGTTCTCTGCATAACATTTTGTTATTCAACTCACAAGAAGTCCTTACCTCCGTGCAAATGAAAAATGGGCTGAGGCACTGGGGGAGAAATTTCTTGGGCTATCTTGAGGGCTATTGCCTGCAGAGAGAAAGAAGGACAAAGTTTACAACATGATCTTGTTTTTTGTATCATTATCCACATCCAGAATCTTCTTCTCTTTAGTAGTTAAGTTTCTGTCCACTTTTGCAAAATGCTTTAGTTTTACCTGCAGCAGGAATTTGGGGGGAGGGGACAGAATTCCAGCACAGCATTCCAAGTGTACAAGGTATATGAATCACCTCATTCCCCTATATCACCAGCCAGCAGCCCTCCACATGTTTAATAACCTAAATATTCCAGTCCTACAGAATAACGGACACACGAATGTTTGGGCTTCCACCCTCCCAGATGTGCTAGCATTTCAAACAGCAGGATGGATGCGGAAGCGTCTGCTTCAAGGGGGCCGGGTGGGATGGGCTTTCTATTTTAGAGAGGGAGCCTTAGTGGCTTTAATTTGTAGTAAACAGAATAAAAGTCTGAGTTCTGGAAAATAAATCCTCATATTCCCTAGTACATATTTTAAAGGTGGATGGATATGTTAGAACTAGTCATAAATACTGCAGTCCAGGCCTATGTCTCAAATAGCCCAGGTCGATCTCCGCATGGCCAAAGTGGCCCGGTAGGATTCGCCCTTTTCAATACTTTCTTCAACAGAGCCCTCTGCTTCTAAGCAGCTGGGCTGTGACTGGCCAGGCAGGCTTTAAAAGCCACAGTCACACACAGGCTGACAGGGGGCCTCCCCAAGACCTTCTGGGGGGACAGAGCACAGACGGACGGCTCACTCTAAGGAGGACAGCTCCGTGGGGGCCGTGAGAACACGCAGCCGGCTGCTGATCACTCAGAAAGCTTGGCAGGCAGCTGGTGTGGGGAAGCTGAGGACACTCCAGACCACCCTGCTTCCCTCCGCATGTTTAATTAGATTGGCAGCATTATCTGAGGACCCGATGGGACTGTGGCTGGTTTCAATAAGGAGGTGAGGAAAGGCTGCAAACTAATCCTGTACGTTCTGGAGACAGGGAAAATAATCAGGAAGGTATTTTTCATCCTTAACAGCAAGCCAGTTGCCACATTACTGGTTTTGCAATCGAAGTGACAATTGTAATTAGGTGTAAGGAATACAAGATTGCACGTTAAAGTCAGTACCTCGTGGTAGAGGTAAACAATTTATTACCTCTGTGCCAAAAGAATAGACCAACACATTAAAGAGGGTAAGTTTACTGTTACCTTGAGGAGTTTTGGATTGGCTACACCTCTACTGAAATTTTTCAATTAACTCAAGGTTGCAAATTTCACAGCGATGCCTTCAACAGATGCCATTAACTTTATGACAGATAGCACAATCAGAGCCATTAACGGGGAAGCACGGAAAAGCCCATTTCTTTGCCCATTTCTTTGTGGGTAGAGAGTCGAGAAGCATTTTCCCCTGCTGCAATCAAATTTATCTGCCTTTGCATCTGCTGTTCCTTGGGCCCCTGGAGAATGGATTCTGTTTTTGCCATCCAGCAATCCAGGACTATTTCTGTCCATTTATCTACATGGCTAAATTAAGTGCTTTCAACTTCTCTCAACCGCCTTTTTCCCCTCGCCCCCCTCCCCAACTTAGGTGGTACATCACTCTTCATATGCCTTAAAAGGTCTCATAATTTCAGGGTGGCTAAAAAAAAAATTTTTTTTTTTAAAGAGAAACAAATCTACTGCCAGAAATCTTCATGTAAATTTTGTTTTCCACTCGGGAAAAAATGTTCACTTTGCTCACACCCCATATAGAGCACACTGCCAGTAAATTATTAGGAGAAACAAAATGATTGTTGGAAGCCAAGGCGCTTTCAGAACAATCCCTGCGAGCCTATTCACACAGAACAAATAATAAGGCCAACGGAACTTGTCACCAGTTCCTAGCCCTGTGTTCTTTGTAAAGAAAGCACTGTATCTGGAGATTATCTGAGATCAACTACACTAACTACAGAGTGCTTAGTGAATATATTTAAGAGTCGGAAGAAGGGAAAAACAAGGAATTAGCTTAAAACCCTTTTCACTTTTAGAAAGTTTAGTGAGTGGTCCCTAGGAAGCCTTATAACATTTTATAATACACAGTGACCCATCACTTTGAGAATGAATGGGCAGAGATAGAAATACAGAGGCAAGTTAACTTAAATCTGCTTTAAAAAAATAAAGAAAGAAAGAAAAACCTTCAGGCTCTGCCTTTCCATCTTGTGCTGCCTTTCTAGGCCCATTCATTGAACATGTTCCTCATTTTCTTCTCATGAACTCCTACACAGCTGTAAAACCTAACCCAAATTCCCACCCCTTCAACTTCAAAACTACACAGCCTTCTGTACTGTCTTACTATTCATAGATCTTTCTTCTTGTTTCATGTCAGATTGAAAAACTAAATTGAAATTCTCTCTCTCTCTTTCTCTCTCTCTCTCTCTCTCTCTCTCTCACACACACACACACACACACACACAACATTATTTCAAAGGCTCTTAAGTGTAGTGAGCTATTAGAGAAAATGAGGGTGTTGTAAACAGAATACCTGGCAACTCCTTAGGGTCAAGAGACTAGCTTAATTTGAGGGCAGCTCAGCAAGCTGGAGGTAAGAGACGAAATAGAAGGGCTCAGGAAGGGGACAGAAACAACCCAGATGCAGGAGAGACAGGCTCCCTGGAAGCAGGGAACTGTCAACTACATGTACTGGTAGTAGCTAGTGGGAAGCCTAAGGAGATGTATGGAGGCAAGAGAGAGATGCTAGGGATTTTAACTTGGCATGACTGCGCTGGGTGGGCGGGCAAGGGAATGGCTGAGGAGCTAGGCTAAGACATGGAAAGACAATAGAAAAATTGTTAGGTGAGCAAACCAAGTATAATTGGTGATAAGCTAGAAATAAGTGATGAAAAAGGTCACAGACTACAAATGACCCTTGTTTCCAATGTGGGTAGATTGGGAGAATGGCTGTCCCATTGACAGAGAATTTTGAGAGAAGTGGGGTGGGCGGGTCACAGAAGAAAATGGCAGATGAGTATTGTGCAGATTTTTGTCATTTATTACCAAAAACATTCCTCACATTTCCTTTGGGAGAAATTATAAGGTTAGCAGATCAGGTAGGTAGAAGTCAATCTTTGAAGTCTTTTGTTCTTACTTAAAATAAACCTTGATTTCTGTTATCGACTCAGTCTTTGAAGACTCAGGGACACTATTTAGTTAAATAGTGATCAAAATAACCGCAAATTTAGAACAGATCAAATTATAAAGCACACCTTGTATATTCCTATCTCAGAAGTGAGGGCCAGACTGCTGTGGACAAGCACAGAGCTTCCCCGGGGTGAGAAGGCAAGAAGGATCGAAACCAAAGTCCTATACATGACCTTCACTCCTCACAGCACGGCTTTCCGAATTCATCCCCCCATCTGCAGAGCAATACCTGAGAGACCTTCAAATGAAAACTGGTGCCAGTTAATTCTCTGCCCATATGTGCTGCACTTGCTTATAACTCAAATCCTGCTGCTCCCGGGGATTTGCTGCCTCTCGGATGTTTGAGAGCTAGGACACTTTACAGACTGCTGGTACCGCTGCAGATGTTTCTGACCTGGTGAAGAACACCTTAGCAGTGGTCAGGCGGCTGGGTAGGTAATTAACTCTGTGATCCCCAGGGGGAACTAGCGAGGCTAATAAACAAGCATATATCAAAATGGTGCTTTACCTAATGGCGCTGCACAGGGTGCCTCATTTTCGAGGCAGTTATTGTTAAGAAAGTGATTTCCAGATTAATTAAATTGTTTGATTGCTTTGTAATTAGGCTGGAGAAGTCCTGTGTCTTCACCACAGAGAAACAGGCTGCAAATCTTTTTAAAAGGCATATGCTATACCCACTATAGATTATTAATGCGCTTTTAATAGCTGTCTGCTCGCAAAATGATCATTTCTGGTTGCCTTGATTTTTCTATCAGGACTGAGGGAATCCAAGAATTAATGATAATGCCATGTGAAACTCCCAGAGGATCAAAGAGAAGCCCCCACTTGAATCCTTATTGTTATTATTGACTGATCTGCCTAAATGACTTGCGATGTTTTAAACCTTAACAATGAGTGTTGGAGGTTTTCGGCAACTGGCACTGCTTAAAAACCTGCAGACCTAACTTCCCGCATCCAACCGCGGATCTTCTTACAGGAGGAATGCCAGCTATGGGGGAACCTCGGGCTGAATGAACTTTCAAAAAAAACAGTTCAAGTCTCCTGAGAAGTTTGCCTCCCAGACCCGGCTGATGCAAGAGTTAGAAATCTTCCTTTCACTTAGACAGCTGTCTCAGAAACTGGCTCCTCTCCAGATGTCATGGCAGGATATTCATTAAACCTGGACAGCTGCTCAGAATCTAAGTGGACACAGGAAAACCTTGACTGGCCTTCAGTGGAACTGTCCCTGGTAAGCTGTGAAGTGTCCACAGCAGGCCAAGGAAGAGAAGCAGGCTTATCTGCCTGGGTTTTCAAGTAGAGCGGATCACACACAATGAACCAAAGCTTTCTTAAACTCCGGGCTCTCGGAACCTCTTTGGTTTTGAGGACTAAGCAAAGGGGTAGATAGTGAATTAACTGAGATGGGGAAGAATGAGGGAGGATAGGGCTTGGGAGTGTGAGAGAGAATTAAGAGCAAAACTTGAATACCTGGGTAGGCTTTAGTCTTTTACTTAATGGAGGCACTGCCACAAATAATTTCGAATATGCTAAAATGTACTCATAGTCCACACTGTGTGCAATTATATATAAAAACGTCACATTCGGTTCTAGTTCTCATATTACTTAATTAAACACTTACAAATGGTTATAGTTTTTTTAATTGTACTTGAGAGCATGGAACAGTTTTCCAGCTCACGTTATTTAGTGCCTGACAGAGTTAACAGTCCTAACTGGTTTCAGGTGCTCAAACCAGCCAATAGTGCTCGGAAGAGGTTTGCAGAGGACAATTCTATAGGCTAAATACTGAAGTTTGGGTACGGATCATTTCAATCACTCTGTCTCCTGTCACCATTGGTAAAACTAAATGA